TGGATTTGAAGCCGAAACATTTTTGCATTTCAGGACATCCAAAAATTTGTATTTGAAATAAAAAAAATGAACGTTTCAACCAAAATTTAGAGACCCCGGTGGTATGCAACATGTCAATTTTTGAGCTAGGAGCCGCTCGTGAGCAATTTACTGACGAAGGCTGGTTAGCAACAGCGTATGCTTCTAGTCTTCTGAATTCGCTAGAAGAAACGAACTACAATTCATAACTTTACATAAAATGATCACAGGTGAAATATCTTTTCAAATTTAAGCTCAAGACAACAATACCTTTTGAATGATAAAAAAAAATTTGTCAAAAATGGCTAGTTAAAAAGTGGAAATTTGTCTGAGGAAAAAAAACCCACCCCGAGCACAAATATTCCGTTACTTTCGTATCGAAAGTCGGAACAATAAAAAACTTCAAAAACCATCTTAAAGCTAACAGTTCACAAAATTTGTCTGAAGGAGTCGTGTGGGCAATCGAACGCTTCAAATACAACTTATGAGGCAAAAATTTGACCTTCATCGCAGACCATCAAGCTTTAATCAGCGAATTAAATACCTGCGAATGATCAAAGACTAGCCAAAGCAGGGTCAATCCCACAGCAGGATTAATCCCACATTTACTTTCCAAAGCAGGATTAATCGCACCTTTACTTTTGATATAAAGCACTTGGCAGGAACAAAAATGGGAATAATACCCTAAATTTGCCAAAACCCGGTAGGGTAGGTGCTACCCCCAGCAAGTATGATGGGGAATTTGTTGTGGCATCAATTCACTTGTTCATTTCCAATCTTAAATTGATTGACAACTTCATACTCAACAAGCTAACCACTCAGAATTGAGCTCCAAATCGGCTGATCAAAAATCACGCTGAAACTGAAAGGTAATTAACAGCATAATTGAAATCTCAAGTTCAGTTTAAACATTCCAAACATATCGAAATCGGTCATCCAATTGAAACCAGAAACAATGACTCGATCAATCGGACACTCGAAAATCAGCTGACCGAAAATCTAAAAGAACTAAACTATGCCAATTGCGTCAAGACAATGCAGGACAACTCAGACAAAATGAGGCATAGAAATGAATTAAAAGAATACGAAGGAGGATTTTTCCACAATTGAGCAAGGTCCAGCTCCCCCAGACTGCAACATACGCAACCACGAGGGAGAAAACCGGAAATAATGTGGAAGGGGAACCGGACAGCGAGGAAAGCTTGTCCGACTCATTATGGCACAAAAGGAAGATGACATGAAGTTACGATCGCTGGACTACAGACTCAACAACATCAAAACAAGAAGCAGGAGAATAACTACCGAGCAAAAGACCTCAAGGATTTCCGAAAAATGTCTTTACAGACAGCCCCAAACAAGTTTCCAGGAAGCAAATAACCAAGAAAAAGAAATTGTAAGAAGACCACCGTCGTTGGACAACACAACCCACCGGACTAGAAGCCCAAAACTCAAGGTTCAAACGGACACAATACTGAACAGGATCAATTTACGAAACACACGTTTTTAATGGAGGCCCGAACTGAGTTAAATATGACGGATTCAGAGACCCAAACACCAACAAGCAAAAATAAAACACAACAGAACCACGTACAACCGCAGACAAAGTTTACAGTAGAGGTAAATGAAGAAAACGAAGACTGCATAAGCAGATTCGACCCACAAAAACAAGGCACAGAAGAAGCAATACCGAATGAAGCACCGCGAACGATATCCGGATAACAACTGGAGGCCAGTCACTAACTAATGGTGGCAGGCAGGGTTGAATAGGCGGACCGAGCAACAGCAGCAGAATCAGAGGAGGACACACCACTCTTCAGATGATGGGTGTGAATTTCATAATCACAGTCACAGGCAATAACATTAAATCGGTAGATAAACTCTTTGAAAAACGGGACTGGAAGACACTGAAACGCGCATATGGAGACCATTGGTACAATGTAAGAAACTGATTACATGTTAAAGAGGACTGTCTACTGATAGATTACAGCATCATCTTACCACATTAACTACGTCAGAACATTCTGGACAGCCTCCACTTAACGCATCCCTGAGCTGTGGAAAAGTTAGATCTGAGCGAAAACATCTGGTTCATTCAAATTCATTAAAAAATTGTATGAATGAGCCAAAATTGCCACCACTGCAGAGAACAAGGCAAAAATGTAAAACCTGCTAAAGGAAAGTCACAATCATTACAAATGGAGCCAGTTGTTGAACCAAATGAGGAAAAACAATTAAACTTCGTCGGCCCCCTACCGGACGATTTCGATAAGGACGCGTACATTTTGGTTGCACAAGACAAATGGTCAAAATTCCCAAGAGCGAAAAAATTCCACATTTTTTGCAGATCTTACAAGATAAAACTTGTTTTCACCGCGTTAGATGACCACAGATTAATGGGTGTTGTAGAGCGCCTAATTCGAACACTAATACGCATGTTAGGGGTCATGCGGATAGACGGAAATAACTACGCATTTGAACTTGCATCTACTGTCGCCGATATCATAAAAACATTGAGCACAACTCCACACGGAATTAAAAAAGTTTCCTATTTTAGTCCCATATGAGACGCAAACCAAACACACCATTATCAAATGTAGCAAAAATTATCTTACCAAATGACCTAAACTGGAAAAACGCTTGTTTAGATCGGGAAAATTGGAATCACCCTCCACTCCCGCCAGAAATCATGCACGACCTACAATGCTGGTCCGATATTGACTTCAACATTAAAAGAAGGCTCGCAAGGAATCTTCCGGAACCATCAAACGCGATCCTAAAACACCCAGAATCCTCCACAAAAGCACACTAAAGTGCAGGGGACAGAAACAGACACTCTCTATATAAAAAAAGGCAAGCCATAAATTTAAGATTAAACAAAACACAAAAACAAGAGGACAGCAACTTTACGAAACACATTCAATAAATAGCTAGAAAAATGATCAGAATTGCAACAAAAATTAGGATCCGAAAACATTTGAGCAAAAAATACAAAACAAAAGATGAAAAAATTTAACATACACCCCGCACATGGCTTGGTAACAAACTCGAGGAAAATAGCCTCGCCTACTGAAAAAAAACGAGTTCGCTTTTGTGCCAAACAAAATGCTTTAGTATATGAACCATGTGGACCATCACGACTAATTGATTATGTTGCATAAAAATTTGCTAGAAGAACGGTTCCATGGTTGCGTTTTTTAGACATCGAATAACCAAACGCACAACAAAACGCAAAGTTCAAATAGATGAGAGAACGGGACTCCCGAAAAAGCTGACTCGAAAAGAACAGCAGACCCAAAAGGTCACAAAGGTAACCGCAGACCCAAAAAGACACAAAGAGAAAATAAGACCGACACAAACTGGGAAACGAACGGGCGGAAAACCAACCCCAAACAGGCAAGGGGGATGACATTCAAAGAAACCGACTGGAGAGATACAACAGAATCGTACACTTCGTCAAGCGACAGGTGGTCCTCTACAGCTTTGGAAAACACGGCACCCTCCCCCAAACGAATAGACGAGAAAAAGACATCCCCACAGCCATCAACAGCTGAACCGACAAGAAAGTCAAAAAGAACGCGTCAGGCAATGCTAGCAACTTCGCTGGGAAACCCGATCACAACAGATACAATAAACTCTCGTAGAAAATTTTCTATAGCGTCACCAGAACAACACGGAAACAACTCAAACATCAAAAGTCTGATCCACAAAATGGGAATCTAGAAGGGCTCACCAGAATTTGTGGCTCGCTTGAAACTTCTCGAGTTAGTTAAACCAAAGACGAAGGACAGCATCAACGTCATAGACGTGGTATTTTGATCAATAGAGCCCAAGAAACGCTCAAGAAACATTAAACAAGAATAATGACGACAAAATCCAACAGAAAAGAAACACAACGAAAGAACACTAGAAAATTCTAGACAAGAAAACACTAGAAGAGGAGGAGGAGTCCGCAACAGCGAAAATGATAAAAAGGGCATCTCAACTCAGCAACAACAATCAAAACAAAGAAAAGCGAGTTAACAATAAGTCCCCCAGGTATAATAATTTTATGTCCCGATCAGATGGCCTTAATTGATATGAACTAACCGTATCTGTGAGCTTAGCCGCTCAGTTGTCTTGAATTCAGTATTGTGTTCATTTACCTTTCTAGAACCTTAACAACTATTAAGTTATTCTGCGAATCCGTTCGGATTCTAGAACAGCTCGTACATAGGGGTATGACAGACAAGATGCCGTCAAAGACTCATATCCGATTGTCAGTTCAAGATTGCTGGTGTTCGCGATACTCAAAAGCATAAACTTTGGTTCTTAACAGCGTTCCATGGTTCCATGTTTGATTGAATGGCTTGAAAATCTATTTTTGTACCTTTCTTTTTACCATATTCTACAAGGTTACAATGACGTTCAGATTTTTTGGGATATTGGCTGTCTGTCTGGACTTGTCAAGCGCCTGAGTCGTGATATATATGACGAAACACGTTCATTTTTTCAATACACACGAGGAAAAACTGTTCAGGGGCATTTTTAAACTGAAAAAATTGAACCAAAGTTGTAAACAGTTTAGTTTGATATCATGATGAATCCTTAATAAAATTTCGATGAAACTAAAACTACGCGGTAAATGCTCACGCTTTAGTTCATTTTTATCTTTTTTGTATATGGTATAGGAAACAAAATAGTTCTGGTAAATAGATTTTCAACATCATTTTGAAAAAATGGAAAAACACTTTTTATAAACATAAATTTTTTGCTACAGCACCAAAGTCCAATCATTAAAAAAGCGCAAGCAATATCTGAATCCTCGGTCAAAAAAAAATGAGCATGCCTCTAATTATTATTATACCATTTTCCAATCATAACTTTTCTCTTCTCTATGTACAGACGTAGGTAATGCGTTTGGAGCTGTAAAGCTGATTGGTGTTTTCTCATTGTAACAACCATGTTTTACAATCTAGCATTTTTGAAAAAGCATCAAGCTGTTTAACAGCAAAACTGAGAACATTAAACTCGATAGTTTAAAACGCTGACAAACGCTTATTTTTGATTCGGTACAAAAGACTTTCAAACTTATGATTATATTGAATTGAATTTAAAAATGGCCGCGCTGAAGATTGGACACGGCTTCAGTGAGTTTCTTTAAATTTAATTGATTTTTGAGTTTTTCTTCAGAGATTTTTTTTCGAGGAAAGTTAATTGATAGTTCGGCTCTGCCACTGAGTTGTATCATTCAACCAATCAAAATCGAGTTATTTGGAACTAAACGTTTCATATTTTTTGTACGTTTTCGAACAAACATGTAAGTTGTGGCGCAACTTGGTAGTGATGATTCCCAGCAATCATGTGATCACGGGTTTAATGCCCGTGCGTTGCAATTAAAAAGGTGTGAGCTCTTGTAAGATGGTCATAGCTTAGTTAACTTTAATTGATTAACCTTCGGATTAGACCTCTGGCTGGTTAACTGAAAAATTTCGCAAAATTAATTTGGAGTTTTTAGATTTTTTTTACCCAAATTTGTTATTTCCAGACTTTAGTGGCCAAACAACAAGTGTCCGCGTTCTTTCAATCTCTGTATGCGTTAGGGCGTAACATTTTCCCCCTTTTTTTACAAAGATGTTTTTTAGATTTTCGTATCGATCACCTCTAAGGGCGGTGAGGATTTATGGCCGAGGGTTGGTAACTTTCAAATCGAGATCATGTACTTCAAGGTTCTTCATGTAGTACTACAATCCACTGTGAATTCAAACAGTTTCAGTCGTTTTTCAGAGTAAAAAACTCCCCGTTCGAGTAAAATTAATCTGAATATTACCGTTTGTCTGACTAATTTTCACGGAGGAATCTAGACCGAACTCTTTATTTAAATCTAGACAGATTTTTTGTTGCTAAAATCGAATCAATTGCTCCTACAATTGCTTCCAGGTTTTTTCCCTAATTTGATCCACTTCCAATAACCTAAAAAAGAAGAAAATCTGGGAGGAAAGGAAAAAATTTAAAGAATTTTTTATTGAAAATTTAATCATTCATTTTTGTTTTTATTACTTTTTTATTGGATTTGCTATAACTATTGTGTAAAGATACTGTTCTAACAATACAGCTCTCTCTTCGATCATTAAAAAGTTAAATATTGATTTACAAATATTGGTTTCTAGGCAAGTTAGTGGAGCAACTGGGCCGTGACGAGACATTAGCTGGGTGTGTGAGGCCAGTTGCCGTGGACTCTGAATTGGTGCTGTCTGTTCTGAGGGGTGAATTCATAGAGAACACACAATGGAGGAACACAGTTAGATTTCTGAGAGAGAATAGAGTGAAAACATTCATCGTCTCTAACTGCACAGGTACCCACAACAATCTTTACGATCTTTCTCAAGTTTTACTGAATATTTGAAAAATCTATAAAAAATCTTAAAGAATCTTGATTTTTTTGAAAAACTTTGAAGAATCTTTTTAAAAAAATTTTGAAGGATCTTTGAAACATTTTAAAGTCTGTCAAAAATCTTGAAGAAAAATATTTGAAAACATGGTCAAGATTCTCGAAAATCGGTGAAGATCCTCGACAAAATTTCAAGAATCTTGAAGACAAAAAGTGTCTGTAAGATCTATTAAAGTTTTCCAATAAGACTTGATATGAGCAACCACTCGAAATGATAATTTGGAGAGATGAAGTGGGTCTCCGACTCTCAATTAAAAGGTCGAGGTTCGAGGCCCACTATGAGCTCTACTCTTTGCCAGCTGATGAAGAAAACCTTGGTTCTTTTTTTTTCAGATAGCAGACAGGAAAGGGAAGTGTTGTTGTCGCACACTCAACAACATCTACAGAAGTTTGCAGCCAAACAGGGATGCACGTTCACGGTAACTGATCTCCCATGTGAACACTTTTATCTTCAACTTTTTTGCACTTGTTCTGTGATTAATTTCACCGTTCTTATGGGTTTTTGGTTTGTCAGTTGTGATATCAGTTCATACATTTTCTCGCAGAAAAATTAACGAAGTGGAATTTTTCTTCGAGCGTGCTTTCAAGTTTTTTGAAGTATGGAATGTTTAACACCAGAAGCAGATTATGGGAGCGGGGTTCGAATCTCTTAGAGTTAAATTGTGCATTTTATTATTTCAGTTCTTAGACTACTGGACTGGTATGTCTTCCCGACTTGACATGACCCCCAAAGACTGGGACCTCGTATCCTCCGAGCTCGACAGCTGCCTCGTCCCCTCCTCTTGTTCATTGGGTCCGGTGGCTATCGTGTTGCACACTGAGACTTATGGGGATCCGGTGTTGCCTGTTAGATTCGTTCCCAAGCATTTCAAGTGGCTGTTGGAGGCGTCCCAGTCTGTAGGAATTGACACCAGGACTATAGTCGAGTGGTAAGTTCTTTGATTCCGCCCCCCTCCCCCGCTTTCTCACTTGTAACTTTAATTCAGAACGATCTATTTGAAAAAAAAATAACTCAAATTTCCATCTCAGCATCGAAACCGGTCTAGTTTCTAAGGTGAGATCAAGTTTACACCATCGCCTTCATAATTAACATACATTAACAGACCAAGCTATTCTTCTTCGCCTGTTGTTAATAAAAATTGCTTGGCACTGCTCGTAAAAAACTCAATTTTGACTGGCTGACAAAATCCAAATTAACAATGTTAAACCCCCCTATGACGTTTTAGGGATGGAAAGTCCAATTATTCCAAAAGCCAAAAAAACGTTTGAAAACAAGTTATTTAAATAATTTTCAAACACTGCAAACACAACTGACTATCTTTGTAACCTTGTTGAAAGGAAACATCAGTTGGAAACATCTAACAAGTGATAATAGAATCTCAAAAACGAACTTTAGATGACCTTAATATTGCAGGTGGGCTGCAAGAAGAAACTTTCAATCAAAAAAATAAATTCAGAAAAAAACAGCGTTTTGTGGTCTGATCTGGTGATATCAGAGACAAGTAGTAATAAAAGTATGCAAATACCACTAGTAATCTAATCTAACTAAACTAGGTTAAAAAAACTAAAATAAGGTATTGAATTAAAACTGACCGATGTCTTAAAAGAACAACTAGTGACGCGAAGTCCACTGGACTTCTAAGAGTAAACGTTGACCGGTACGAAATTTATACATAAAGGTCAAGGTCAAAACATAACAAACGTACTAAATCACAACATTCTTCACTGCGCAAAAAAAATTGTATCTGCGCTTTTCCTGGGTAGCCAATATCACACATACACTCCTCTCACTCCACGAGGGCCAAAATTGAAATAAAAAGTAACAGCCTTAGCACCAATGGAATTTACAGAGAATATACAAATTAACATGGAGATGACTATGAGATAATAAAATAATGGCTACCTACAAATTGGTACAGATATGTACAACGACTAGACAATTAAGGAAATGTTATGTACTGTTAGTGTTATGTGACATATAGACAAATTTTACAAACTAAACTAAGAAAGTAACAATTGTAAAATGATCCTAAGGCTAAATGTACAAAAACGTTACGCTGAAAATTGGTAAAGGAAATAAAAAAGTGATCAATGGTAAAATCAACACTATAGCTAGCTTAACTAAAAGAGAGTTTATGAGTTTTCAGAGGTGGCGTTGAAAGTTTAATGAAAGATGTCCGCCTCCTTTCTCACTTCTGTATCTGTGACTGAAGATATATCACTCCCCTCTTCGTCCTGAATGATGGGTCTGTCTTCTACCAATGGTGAGGATAGGACCGCGATCTTCCGTGTCATAAACGAAGGAGTTGAAGTGGATCCTTGAGTTAATTCGGCCACCAGTGTTGGATGGGGAAGTATGTCCTAGAGTGATGTCAAGTAATCCGAAGGAAAATCTGAAGTGAATGTCGTCTGTAGGCTTTTCGATCCTGAAAAGGTTATCAGGTGTTCGTCGTCGGAATCTACAATTTCTGTGGTCTCTGCTCCTTGGGGGCCTGGATTCTTCTGGGACGTGGATCCTTGCCCTTCGGGGTTTCTATTGGAGGGATCTCTGGGTTCTTTTCAGGAGCGCTTTCTATCCTAATTGGGTTATCACTTGTGCCCGCAGTTGATGTGCTAGTTGTCTGAGTGGTAATTTTGCTCGCTAAGGTTCGTCCTGACTGATCTAAAGCGCTATCACTATTATAAGTTTGAGCATTATATACAGTTTCCGAGTCGGTACCCAAATAGTCATCTATAACTTTGTCCCAATGATCTAAGTCTAACGCAGAATGTAAGTCCGAGTACGCAAATTTTGAACCTTTAAAACTCGAAAATTTTGTTCTCCTCCGTTTTGTCGCCTTTGCTCCCATTGGTTTGTAGCTTGTCGTTGGGCCAGTTTCATTCGAGTCCATCCTCTTCAATCAGGAATTTTTCTTCCGTTTTCCTGCTAAATCATAACTATTAACTATCAAAGTAGGAACTGCTGAAAATTTACTGGGAGCCAATGGTTGATTTTTTTAAAAGCTAAGTCCGATTTTCTGAGAACATGTTCATTGTCAAGTGTAACCGTATGCGTTGTGTCCGACAATGGTTTTCCAACAAAGGGTTTAAAGTACGGGTCGCCTTCCCGTCTGTTAATTGTCTTCCTAAACCAATTACTTCCTTGGCTGAATGGATTGGATAGCGGTGTTCGATAAAGACTTAGATCAGGTTTGTCGGTTGGATCGCTCTCGTATCCCATCTTGTCTGCTACTGTGTTATCCAGATAGTCGTCCTCGATAGTGTCGTCTTCTCCCCAGTTTTGAGCTGTAACCCTTGACCTTACTGACTGTGAGACCAGAGATTTCCAAAAAGTATTAGGCGATCTATTAAATTGTTTAGAAAATGGAGAGCATCCATTGGAGGATTTTTTCGTTGAACGAAGATTCCAAATGATTTTATCAATTGCCGCGTTCAAGGTTGGTTTGGGTTCGTTAAACGACATTGCCAACAGTTTTGCTTTAATTGTGTAAATGAGCGTTCTACGACTCCATTGGAACTGTGATCCCCGACCGTACATAGAATTAAGTTAATGTTGTTCTTCTCGCAGAAGTTTCTAAAATCGTTCGAAATAAAACATGACACATGGTCGGCTCTGATAAACTTCGGAAATCCATATAGGTGGCAGTAATCTCTCATAAAAGATAAAAGCGAAGAGACTGAATTGTTATTCACCCCCTTTGCTGACAGGAATTTTGAGAAGCGATCAATACATAGTAATAAATATTTTGAGTTGCCCCAATTTTTTTCGAATGGACCTGCAAAGTCTAAGTCTAATTCTTCATTTGGTTCGGATAGAACTGGCAATTTCTCATTATTGTTTGTGCCCAAAATCACTTTTAAGTTTTACCCGCCTTTATACACTGGATACAGTTTTTCCCATGGTAATAAATCTCTCTATACAAATGTGGCCACCAAATGTTTTCTGCCAGAGACTTCATTCCGAACTGTCCTGGGTGGGAGTAGCGAAAAAAATGGAGATCTCAGAGCTGCTGGCAATATTAGTTTGTTATCATTGAACAACAATCCTTCTTTTACGTGGATGTCTCGTGGGAAGGTCTTCAGTTATGCTCCAAATCTGACCAGTGGTCTGCCTTCTTCTACTGCCTTCTTCACGTCCTTGAGTAATTTATCCTCGTCTGTCATATATCTAATTAATTCGTTAGAGCATTGTTCTTTGAAGGAAAATCGTAACTTCAAGCCTCCCTTATCTTTGGCGAGTAACTTTTTGTGAATGCCTGTCATTGTGTCGTTGTCAAAATTTAAAAAAATTTCTTTATTTTCCGCTCGAAGTGAAAATTTTTAACGATTTCACAGACCCGAGAATTTCTAAGATTAGATTTTTGCATTCGAGGTTTAGGGACGAGTCAACTGATAGTAACGAACAAGAAAAGAAGAACAGGTAAGATTTATCTGAAAGACAAAAGTAATTAAAATTGAATTTCGAAAGGTTTAATGGATTGCAACCGCTTAAACAAGACTCTGAACGCGAGTGATTAGAATTACATATACGAATTGTGTCATCGACATAATTAAGAATTTTCGCAAAAAACGACCGTTGGATGTATAGAGTTATTTCTTTCTTTCCGCCCATTGGATTATTGTAATCTAATTTAGTGATACTATTTACATCCACTGGATTGAACAATTCGTTCTTTGTACAATTATTTTTTTTACCATCACTATTTACAGACAGGTTATCAACAATCTTTTTCACTGTTGCCACCACGAATTCGTCATCGTAGTATGAGGTTGGGAGGGCTTTTCCTGAAGGTAATCGCGACAATAAATCTGTAATTCACATGTCTTTTCCTGGTATATGTCTGATCTTAAAATCAAACCCAATGGGTCAGTCTGCTATGCATAGTTTTATTACTTTGATTATCTTTTAAAGCCAATAACAAGGCCTTGTGGTCCGTTACGATCTCAAACTCGGCGCCGTACAAGTAATTTATAAATGCTCTGTAGCCCAAACCACTCCCAAAATTTCTAATTCGTTCGTTGAATATTTCAATTCGTGACTATTTAAGAATCGAGAAGCGAATGCTATCGTTAAACAATTTTTCCCGTCCCATTGTTCTAATGTGGCTCCCAGACCACTGTGTGAAGCGTCTATTTTTAATCTTGAAGTCCTTTTTATGTCGAAATGGTTGTTCTCAGTAGTGTTTACAATCTGTTTCTATAATTCTTCGAAGGCCTTCGTGTGATCGTCATTCCATTGGTAAACTGGTTATTGTATTAACAGTGGACATAGCGGAGAACTTAGGGTTGACAGATTTGGGACCAGCTTCATGTATTGGTTAATCGAGCAGAAGAATGACCTTAATCTTGAATCCCAGCCACTCTATTTCTTTTTGGAAAAATTCGCATTTCTCCCATTTAACTGCCATGTTCTTGTTGTCCAAGACAATTGAAATTTTTAATAGTATGCTCGTTTAAAAATCCTTTTGAGGCTATTAAAATATCGTCGATATAACAGTTGGTAAAAGTAATATCTTTTAATAGTGAATCCATCACCCTTTGGAATTCGTTCGGCATGTCGCCTAGTCCGTAAAACCCCGTTAAGAATCGATAAGTCCCGGTGGTTTCACCGCCTAAGATACTGAAATTACATTATTTGCTTGTGTCTGTGCATAATTGTAATTGTTTATACGCATTTTTCAGGTCTAAATTGCTAAACCAGACTTCCCCTGAATCTTTAGTAGTAAGTTGGAGGTCTATGTTGTCGATGAGCACGTGTATGTTTGGCATTCAATATTTGTTCTTGAATATCTGGTCATTAAGGAGTTCTGAATCTAAAGCCAGCTTGATACTACCGTCCTTTTTTCTGGTAATTACCATTGAACTAACAAAGCAGTCTTCATCACATTTGCTTAGTTTCACAAAATGCCCCTCCTTTTCCATTCTATTTAATTCCACTTTTACGCTATCTAGTAAAGGAAGGGGATTTCTTCTGCCTTTGGTTTGAATGGGTTTGAATGGGGTGTGAAAATGAGTGATCTTTCTGTCCAATGTTTTTTCCCTACTCTGTTAAATAAACATTTGAATTTATGGTACAAGCTAAGGGTTGTATCTGAATGACTGTTTGACTTACACGAATCTGGGAGGGTTACGTTGTTGACAGGTAGAGTGGTTGTCGTTGTGCTATTTCAATTCCAATTCTTGGTAGATTATCGTTTTCTACACTACTCCTCTCGTGTCCAGTGGTGATAAAAAGTGGAGTTTCTTCCGCAATCCATCCATTAGATTGTATTCTAAGTACATATTTTCCGATGATGTTAATTGCGTCATCAGTGAAACCGCAGTATAATTCACGAGTTTTCTCGTCAAGTGAATGGATTTTCAATTGTGAGTTTCTCAATTTCAGTTCGTGTAGGACATTTTGCTTAAGAAAGCTTACTGGGCTCGCCGAATCCACTGGAATGTTCAGGTTAACTATCGCGTCATCTCTCATTTAATTTTAACCAGTTTCTTAGTTTCATTGGTATCGTAGATCGTTCTGATGTTAAGAACGGAATAATGGTCGTTGTCACTGATCCCCTCTTCTGTCCAAGCATTAATCACTCCACAAAAGTTTTTTTTCGATTCTCGCTTGTGGGTCTTCTGGGGAGTATGTTCAATTCTGACTATTTACAATTTCGTCTATATTATTTACAGCGGGCCTTCTTTCTTTCGATTTACAACGTCTTCCAAAATGTCCTTTACATTTACAAATGTTACATAAAATTTTCTTCGCCGGACACACATTCGAGTGACCCTTGGTAAACGCGTTCCCACATTTCATACAAGTGTTAGATTTTTCTATGTTCATACTTGGTTCCTTTTTTACATTATTAAATTTTTGTACACTCTGCCGCTATTTCTATCGTGCTGAATGATCTTGTCATGTTTGTAACTTTAAGATAGTTGTAGTAGCCTTTCTCGTCAATGATGGCTTGGTTGAGTGCATCCACTGGATTAAGAGTTTGCCAGAGTAATCTTCGTTGTAAATCACAGTTCTTCATATTAAAAATAAAAACATCTCTTATCCACTCCTGTTCGGCATTGTTTCCAATTTCACACAATCTTGCTAGGTCCGACAATGCGCCCCAAATTTGTTCATAGGATTACCTGTCCTTTTGCGTTCTGCTTAGCAATTTGTAGCGTTCGAACGTAATATTTGTGGGTTTGATAAAAGCTGTTTCCAGTAGGTCGAAAAATTCTTTAAAGGAGATTCCTAGGACTTCAACCCTTGGGTGTTTTTGAGCGAAAACTCTCTTTTCTTCCGCTCCTAGGGCCATAAGATAGATCTTGTTTTTTTGTCGGCCTCGGATCTCCTGGTACCTCCGAATTTTTGTTTCTCCTCTGAAATTCGTTTGTCTTCTGCGTGTTCATAGACTCTCATGGTTTGTTGATTTCTGGCCTCCCTGGCTTTCCTCTGTGGTTCATTTTCTGACTCCTGGGCGCCTTCTGAGATAGGGATTGTATTTTCCAGTTCCAAAGGTTCCTTTAGATTATCTATATCTAAATTCTCTTTAGCGATGATTGCCAGATGGAATTGGTCTATCTAGTTGGTCCATTGGGTGGGTAGTTCTACAGTGTGGTTTGGCCAAAAGGCGTGAATTCTCCGTAGATTCGAATCAGTTGATGACTGCAACATTATAAAAGTGTGCAAATACCACTGGTAATCTAATCTAACTAAACTAGGTTAAAAAAACTAAGATAAGGTATTGAACTAACACTGACCGATGTCTTAAAAGAGCAACTGGTGACGCGAAGTCCACTGGACTTCTAGGAGTAAACGTTGACCGGTACGTAATTAACACATGAGGCCAAGGTCAAAACATAACAAACGTACTAAATCACAACAAGTAATTAATTTGAACAAAAAACGAGGAGGAAACTTCACTAAAAAGAAAGTCAATTCTTCAAAAACTTGAGTCAAGAACAAAACCCTGCACTAGCCTTGAGGTTCAGCTTTACTGTTTTTGGCTGTTTGCTCTGCTATCAGTTTTTATGCTCTCTACTATCTTCTTTATGCTCATAGGCTCTTTAAGTTTTTGCATGAAAGATAGGATTTTCTGCAGAATTGTTCCTTCCTGTCTCTTTCCCTTATCCAAATATTGTGCATCAGCTCTGTAGAGTCTCGGTTTTATGCTTTTTTGTGTCAAGGTTTTCCCTTCATCAATTTCAGTGTGTTTCGCCAACTTCATGAAAAATTAAGATCTGTTTCTTTCTAGTTCAAATTGTTTTCAAGCAAAAAGATTCCACAGCACACTTGAACTTTAAAACAATCAAGTACCATACCCAGAAACTGAATTATGCCAAAAAGCATGGCTAGCTACTGAAACAGATCCTCATCACTGATACCTATTTTTCTGGGTTCACTGGCATAAAATCTTTGAGAGTTTTTTTTCTGTTTTTTTTCTTTACACTAGAGATATTGGACTCACTATTTTTGTTCTATTTTAACAAATTTTGAATACTTAACTGCAATATCAATAAAAATTGTATATCTTTCATCATGTTGCAAGCTGCAACCGATCATCTGATCTAAAATTTTTAAACTCATCTGCTCAATTTTAAGAGCTCTAATTAATTTTTAAAGTCCAATTAATGATCACTTTCTCTATCTTTATTTCTAAATCTTGTTTACAGGCCCCAGTTATGCGACCAAGGAAAGAGCATCTCATTTTTTTCGCAGATCTATTACTAGACAACTGAGAACTTTTACTTGTTAATTTAGAATTAAAATCTCAGAAGTAAAAATCTCTCAGTTTTCTATTCTTACTCAAATTTTCAAATCATGCGTAATTTCATCTAGAGTTATTTTGTTCACTCTATATTTCATGAGCGTAAGAAGAGCACAAAAAATCTCTAAGACCTTCAAATAATTGACATGAATATTTTTTTGGTTAATTTCTCGTCAGCTTTATCCAGGTTGTCTTATAGCACTTCAGCTCTTGTGATGTGTTTGATAAACTCTTATTAGCTTTCATTCTAACCGCGGCTTTTTGTAAATTCAGTTGCTCCGTCCTAACTCGCTCAAAAGTTTTACAACTTGTACTTCTCAAATCCTAAAACTTTTACTCCTATATGTTTTAACTTCCTTAAAATAATTTTGATCTTTGAAATAACTCGTATAAGATTTGAAACTCTTTTTTTTTGAATTTTCAATCTCTTTATTAAAAATGGTCCTTGCTGTTGTTCCTTGGCATTATTTTTAACGCTTGTTGTAAAACTTATCCCCACTACTACACATACACTATTTAAAGCCCGATTCAATTTCAGATGAAAAACTCTTCTTTCAAATGATCTGCGAAATACAAAACAAACTTCAATTTTTTCTGGAAACGCCAAATTCTCTTACTGAGATTTTTTTTATTCTGCTTAAACTGAGTTGAACCGAAAAGTTCTACTGAGTTTTAACGATCAGTTTTTCCTCATTCATTATATCGTAGCGCATAAACATTAATTTTGCATATGCCTTTTTATCTAAATCTGGTTTAGACCCTTAACGAACTGCAGATTTTTGAGCCAAATTGTTACTCTCAGCCTTTCGTTAACTTGTATTGAACCCTGTCTTGCCAAAACATGGTTGTTCACAGTGTTTGCCAAATTTTCCGAAAGATTGTGCCAAAAGTAACGTTTCTTGGCTTAAGCTTTTGGGGTCTCCCCCGTGGATCTTTGTAAATGAATCAGTTTTTCATAAGCGTGATGGTTTTGAGCTACTAAATCAAATGATTTTTCCCTACAATGAATGAACTTTCACCTTTTCCAACTGCAGCCATCTGATCGCCCATTTTCTTAATTGATCGATGATAACCTCTCCGAACAATTTTCACAGCTATCTTACATTAACTCAAGCGTCATTATTAAGACCATTTATCCACGGGGGAAAGGACCAATACAAGAGCTGTACAGCTCATCACGGCGAACTGCTGTTGTGCCCCTGTTTAAGAACTACCTTTTACATTTTATTTTTTTTTGGTTATTTTTCTGGGCTGGGTGATGTTGCTTCACCCTCAAGCAACGAGCACGGATCATGGTGGGCCTCGACATCCGACCTTTCGATTGAGAGGCGGAGACGTAACCACTTCACCACCGCTCACCTGAACTGAAGCGTCTGTAAACTGAACATGAAACTTTCTAACATAAAAAAGTTTCATTCTTTTTCGGAAAAGTTATTATCTATTATGATGACAATGTAATAAATAATACAAATAATACGCTCAAAACTTCATACAAAACACGATAGCAACGCATTGAAGTTTTTAAAATTTCGCTACAAACTTTGAAGTTTTTTTCTCTTTGAAGTTTTTTTTCTCTACTTTCCCCACATATCAGCTACCATCATCATGAAATGGTTGCAGTAAGTTGTTCCGTTATTGCCGGCAAAAGGATGTGCAACTAGGAACGGTTTGGTGCCCTCCAATTTGTATTTGTAAATAGCCAGCGTAGTATTTTTGTCATCATCGCCAAAAGTGTCAGTGTACACCTGGATGCAAAACTGGGTTCCCGTCGCCAGGTCCACGAAGGATCCGTTGCCGACCTTGAGGTCCTCCATATTTCCTTCGAAGCCACAATGTTTCTCCAGGAAAACCATCGTGTTTCCAGTCGAGTTCTCGAGGAGTTCTATCGCGTACTCTTTCGTGAGTTTCTGCATACACATGCTTGATGGCGTGGTCTTGACTTCGACCAGTTTGATCTCGGGTTCGTTCAGGGGCGTCAGCTCCATGTTGAAAGAAGTGTGTGCCAACTCAATGGGACAGAAGTACATTCCGTTTCGGACACTGGACTTGACAAGACAGTAGGGAGTTCCAATTTTGATGTGGTCTTCATCCGGGTACTCCTTCCTGGCATAGGCCATGAAGTAGTTGAACACCTGTCCCAGTTCACAGGCGGGGAAGTATCCGCCTGGCATTTTGTTCATGGTGCGTTTATCCTCTAGGATGCTGTACGAGTGGGCTGAATAAAAGAAGAAGAATTTAAAAATCAGGGAGTTTACTAGATGTTTTTAAAGGGCACGACGACAATTCGTTGCAACTAGCGCAAATTAGTTGCAAGGAAATGTAATCAAGATTATTTGTTTAGTTGTTCAGCGAAACATTCCGTATCAATCCCACGCCCGCATGGCCGTTTGTTTGCTAAGCCGATTCATTTAAAATTGGTTACACGAGTAATATGGAAAACTGCTCAGCGACTTTTTATGAAAAATTGTCGCCTCACGATTTTTAAATATTCATAGCGGGCGAAAAACATGAAATGAATTGATTCATGCAGCAAGTTCAATACTTTCAACAACGACGTTTTTTCTAATGGACAGATTAAAAAATGTGTGAGACTAACTGTTGATTTCGAAGGTCGCGTAGTGTGGTTTGTCATCTCCGTCACAGGTCACTTTCAAGGTCACTTGTGGACCTCGCATCTTCAAGTCCTTCACTTCGTCGTCATACTTCGTCTCACAGGGAGTCTCGTCCAGATTGTCGTTCAAGTGCTTCACCAGATCCGACTGCATGCTTTCGACAGCCATCGAAGGTTCTCCGATCCCGTTGTTGAGTCGCCAGGACTTCGATTCCGGCATCCCGCTTTTGGGAAGCTCACAACCCTCGGGAACCAGAGGCGGTACTCGGCACATGGCTCCACCTCCAATCATAGGCATCGACGGGTTTTTACCGTGGTGTTTCTTTCCGCCGTCGTGGTCTGGCTTTTCGCCATGATGTCTGGTAGCCCTTTTGGGCTTCGCTAAAAATATTGTTTGCTGCCGAAAAGTTTTTATTTTTTTCTTCCTATCAACAAAAACCTATTTTAAAGTACCAAAAAATTCAACCGCTTTCGGCGAAACTAAAACACTAGCAAAATCAATCGCTGAACACAGAAATAAGAAAACTAATTCAAATTCCAAGTTGAGTCAAATAGTTAACTTACCAGACACGACCAAAAACACAGCGATTGAAAGTACAATTATTTGAGTGAGTTTCATTTTTAAGAGAGCAACTTTGAATTTCACCGATCAACTGAATATGTAAGATGTCTAAAGTTGTTATGATTTAGCAGATCGGCCGAAACCTGAAATCGGCTTCGGAAAATATTGACTCTAGATAACACACAAGGTGGGCCGAATTTGACGATGGTGAAACTAAGTTTGCTTTTCTACCTGCGCCCACACAAAACACTGCCCACTTTGTTTGTTCGATGAAGTCAGAGGGGCGAAGCTTTCGGAAACGCGCAAAGTTTTATCAGAACGACCTGATTACCAACCGCTTGATTGCGTCATAGACAATAATGTCACGTGACATGCAAAGAATGCCTGGTTTTTATGATTCAAGCTAAAAGAATATGTGCCAAATAAAATGATATTATTCTGGTTCATTACAGATTAAAAGCTTTTGCTGATCTGATATTTCATTTTTTAAAATAGTAAATTGAGGCTATTTGAAAATCGTGTATAAGATTGTCCCAAAAATATTCGGTGCACTATTTGCAGCAGTTTGCAAACCATATTCAGGGAAAACGATCTATTTAGCTTCACAAAAGCACGAGACGCGCCAGGGACGGATTTAGGGTTTTCTTGAGGGGGGAGGGGGCAGATTTTCAAGAAACTCCTGGGGGCTCCCAGAAAAGTATAAGACCCACTTTTGACCAAAAATTGTGCGCCGAAGGCAATTTTTTGTAAAAAAAAAACAGGTCAAAAATGCCGTTTTAGGGCAATTTTTTGGAAAATTTTGACCAAACCCCCCTGCATGAAAAAATCACTGCTTCTGCCCCTATACAATGAAAAAAAAAACGATGCTATCATTAATCATGAGATTATTCTGTCTAAATCCCCATTAAAAACGCTACTATTTTAATGTTTTTTTTTCACAGGTTCTCCCTGGACGACCAGAGCAGTCCGCCTGTGTTCGAGATGAAGGACATCTCAGAAATATACTCCAACTTCAGATCCCTGGACTCAGACTTGCCTCCGGACGTGGTCGCAGAGGTAACTCTTCGGAACTCTTATCAACTAAGTTCAACTTTTCAGATCAACTATGTACGCGTCTAGCCAAAATTACTAAACAAACTATTCACCCTTAAACCGTTAAGCTAAAATAACCTGGATTAAAATCTTCAGTTTAAGAAAACAGAAACACCTTGTCAATTTTTGAAAAATTCCGGCAATTTATAAAGCGATGTTTTATAAAATTCTTATTTCGGTGTTGTTTTTCGAATTCTTTTATTTCGGTGTTTTTAAAAATCAGATTAAGACCATTTATCCACGGGAAAGGACCAACACAAGAGCTGTACAGCTCATCACGGCGAACCGCTGTTGTGCCCCTGCTTAAGATATATTTTAAGTGTAATTGTTTTGGTTATTTTTGGGCAGGGTAATGTTGCTTCAACCTCAAGCAACGAGCATGAATCATGGTGGGCCTCGTACATCCGACCTTTCGATTGAGAGGCGGAGACGTAACCACTTTACCACCGCGCCCCTATTATGTTCTTTCGGTGTTTTTTATTCTTTTCCAAACAAATCGTTTCATTCTTCACTAATAGAGAGAATTAAATATAAAATTACCTTATACTCAATAGGACAAAAAGGTGAGTCCGCAAAAAGCTTGAAACAAAATACAGAGATTGTCACTACAAACTAGAGTAAAGTAAATTATCCCATTTACTAAAATAATAATCTGTGAAATCTGTGATGACGACAATCCTTCAAATGTCTAATATTTTGATCACCATCTAACACTAGACACTGTTTCTCCAGCTTTGCTCAATTCCTCCGGGTTGCCAAACTTTTCCACAGCGATATCTGTCACACGTTTTTGGCTTAACGGTATAAAATTTGGACCAGGTGAACAATCTTCTCCCTAAATCATTTTCTTATTGAGAATTTTGTTAATAGAATTCTTTAAGCTCCTGCGCTCATCACATGATGTAACTTCTAGAACATTGAGAAATAAAAAAAAACATTTTCATAGCTTACTTCGACTTTTTCTTTTTTTAAATCAGGCGAGGCGACACCTCGTTGCAAGCGACATCTCCTAGCATTTATAATAAAAAGCGACAATTCAAAACAAGTGGCTATTCAAAGCTTGCGACAATTATTAGGAAGCCTAATTGCTAATTAGAAGATTTCAAATTTAGAGACGGAGTCAAACACAGTTTGGCGTGCTAATGGAACATTCAAAACACGCTCGGCTTCATTTAATCAAATATTTATAATCCATGCTGTTGTGAATGACCAAATAGTCCCCTTTGTTTAGTTTCTCTGGCGACACAAAAGTAAAAAAAAATCTGTACATTCAGGCCTTCAGCCAGGTAAGAGACATTAGTTCGAGACTTCAATGTTGAAAGAACGTCATTGAATGCTTTTTAAAGAGTGTTCGCCATTGTCACTATCAAAAATTGATTTTTTTTGTTCGCGCAAGCAGGTTAACGGATAATTCGAGAGCTGGAATTAGCACCCTTAACTAGACAAGAAAAAAGCAGGCACAATCCTGAAACTGTTTGTTACTTTGGCTCTCATTTCAGAGCTTGATTTCAAAACTGGTGTCTTTGCTTTATGCAGTGAAAATTGTCCTGAAGACGAATCGTCATATTGGGCTATGTGGATAAATTCAAAATAACATGCGTCAGATTCAATCAACGTGGGCACAGGGGCAGAAAAATCTCCATTGGTCTGTGGAATCATTTGGAGACTGCTAAAAATGGGAAAAAGAAGACTAAGAAAACACCAACTCATTTGGCGGATGCCATAAAGCATTCCAGATAGGAATGGGTTGTGCCCACCCCGTGACTCATAAATTAAATATAAAAAAAAACAAAGTGTGTCGGAAATAAAGCTTGCCCTCACTACCACCGTTAAAGTGCTGCCAAGGTGGCTAATTATGAAACATCCCATTCTCGATTCATTGAGCTTCGAAAGTACTAAAAATTCAAGTTTATATGGAAACAACTTGAGGGCTTTTCTAACAATTTCGATTTCCAATACCTATTCCAAATCTTTAATCTCCTTTCTTTTGATCTTTTCAAAAAATTTTGCCTCTACATGTCCCTTGAAAAGAATAGTCACTTGGTGCAAATTGTCGCTTTTTATAAAAACTAGGATTTTTTTCGTTACACTGAGTCTTCGCGTCTGCCACGAATTTATGCCGTGCCCTGAAATAAGAATAGAAAATCGGAGTGAAGTTATTTCTAATAAGTTTATTATAGCGATCTAAAACTTGTATCCTTATTTATTAACCCTTAAGCTGATGATTTCTGATAAATGAGTTGGTAACAAAAACTTAACAAGAAAGTAATTTGAAGGAACTGTTTTTTTCTGATTCAGTGTTGACACTTTCATATAAATTTTGCAAAAATGGCATATACATTTGCAAACAGGAAACAATTTTCAAACAACACTTGCCCAAATTTGAAAAAAAAACATTAAAACGTGATACTTTTTCTCTAATTGCTCTTTCCAATTGTGCTTTTAACTATTTTAAATCCGTTGGTGGTGTAAGTAACAATTAAGAATTGATTCGTTTATACAACATGAATGATAAAAAACAAACACGAGAACTTTTTATAAACTGAATTGATTTTTGTTAAAAATGCTAAAATGATATCCGGAACGTTCAGTTATTTACGAAAAATTCCCAAAATGCAAATAAAACGACAGTTAAAGTGCGTTTGGTCTCAAGTTTATAAAAAGTTTGTGAAGAAAACGGGGAACATGTAAGAGAAAAGAGCCATTTTGATAAATGAACCGCTGTGTTTTGGCCAACAATATATTATCTTGTTGTATTGCCTATCTTAGCAAAATTCATCCAATTTTGATGTAAAACGTTTCATTTTTTCACCATTTAAGAAAGACTCAGTGACACTTCGAAAAAGTGTAATCAAAAAGGGGGCAGTACAACAGTGCCGAAGCACAACAGTGCCGAAATTGAAAACTTTGTTCAACAGTACCGAAAATGAAAACTTTGTTCAACAGTGCCAAAAATTTGAACAAATTTCAAAATATTAAGTGCGGCAATCAAAAAATAAACAGCACTCGTTTACAATCTTAAGTGAAACTTAAAAATTTTGAGTGAGAAAATTTGCAGCTTACACGTTTTGGCGCCAAAATAATTGTTTACTTAGCAGTTGTAGACATATTGGCTCCAAAATTGGAGTGATTTTCTTTGATAATTAGCGCCAGTAATTTCCCGTTCTTTAGAAAATGCGTGTAAATTATTCTGAAATTTTCCCGCCTTTTTCGGCACTGTTGTACTTCGGCACTGTTGAACGCCCCCTCAAAGAGACCCTGCAATTGTCCACTTAGACTAGTCTATGTAGTGATTGTGTGATACTGTTAATAATTCTGATGCTTCTATTTGACGATTTGATAGGAAAAAAATTGTTTTTCAATTTTATTTTGTCGCTATTCTTATGCGTAAAGGACCGAATGCGCAAAAACTCTCAACAAATCAAAGTCCATTAAACTGTCCAATAATGACTGATTTTGTCGCTTATTTTCATCGAGTTTATGAATACTAAACTTTAATTGGCAGACGTAATTTTCGCGCATTCGCGAACGGGGTTTGAATCGTTTCACTTATTCCGAAAAAATCCCAAAAAAACAATGGCAGCACTATAAATTGAACGCATTGGTGAACAGTGTTGATTTATATTATCCGGAAAAAATAAATAACAGTTGCAACTTAATACTGGGTTGACTTTACCCAAAAACTGTACTTTTTACTGAAAAGAACAATTTTTTTACTTATAACAATTTTTAAACGCTTTGCAGATTTTTTTTGGAAATTATGCACTCATTAAATTTCGTTGAGCCATATTAAAGGCTTTCTTCTAACTAGTTTTTTAAGCAATTGACCCGGTGTTTTCAGCTCAAACTAACAAATACAATGCACCATATTAGTTTGCTAAAATTCAAAGAAAGATTTACTGCTATCATTATATGTCAACCAAGTCAACCCAAGTTTAAAAAAAAACTCATTTCAAGCTTCAAATTTAATTAGCTTTGCCCAGATAAATTAAATCAGCACCTTGCACTGCATCTTTTGACTGCGTACTAATTTCAACCAATGATATTTGAACACTTTCTTCACTATTTTTATAATTTGAGATATGATAATTTTTGAGCGGATTAAGTTTTAAAAAGAAACCCTAATTTCAGGCATCTGCTCTGTGGCAAACTACGAGGACTAATCTGACTCACGAGATAACAGCTGGCACGAAAGAACTAGTGCGCAAGAATGTCCTCACAAAAGAACATCTGCTCAGAACCAATCAATCGAGTAAAATCTTTAAATGAAAATGATACAGGTTCCGTTTTGGATGGGCTACTATCACTAATAATATAAGCTTTTTATCAATGATATAGCACAAAACAGATTTAAAAAAGTCAAAATTTACAATTTTCTCTCCAGTTTTTGTTGGGGTAATTTTTTTTCGGGACTCTAAGACTGCTATATTGCTATATTTGACTCTAAAGTTGGAAATCTTTATTTGGCTTATTTGGAGACGAATGAGCGCTTCTTAATTTGATTCCTATGAGTGATATCCAATAGCAAGAAGTTGAAATTCTCACAAAAAAATAGAGTTTTTATTTCGTTTTCAACTTTTAGTTTTCGAGGTTTTTGTGGAGCGCGTACTTAAAGAGCGACAGGCCAAGAACAAATGCGTCATCTACTCGAGGAAGTTCGACAAAATCATCACTTCGGACCCAGCGGCAGGTATGAAGGAATGAACTTCTCTTCGTTTTTCAAAAATGTAAAATTCCTTAAGTTTTTTTTACTTCCAGACAGTTTTTGTGTATCATCAGTGATTTCACACTAATCAGTTATCACTTTATAAAAAGCGAGCTTAGGGAGAAAGAAGAAAGGGGGTGAAACCACTTTAGGAAATCATCGCTCTCAACACCCGGAAGCCATGTGGTACTGTTTTTACGACATACATTTTAACCGAACAATCCTAAAAACGTTCTTTGGGATCCTTTAGCGCCAAAATATACAAATTTTCAAAGCCAGCGCCACTAAAATATTATATTTTTACACTCAATATTTTTTTAGAAAAAAAAACATAACTGGATTTTTGGCAAAATCTTCGGGATTTTTGTCCACGGGATTTTTTATTAAATCTCCGCCTACGGCGCTATAATAATGCTGACAAAAATTTATGAGATATTGTGAAAACTGTGTGCTCTCACCTAAATCTCGGATTGAAGCCTTTACTATAAAAAGTTTTTTAAATGACGATGTACGACTAATCAATTCAGTTAAAGACAAAAACTGATCAGAGGAGTTTTTTTCAAAGTAGCAAAACTGCACACCCGCATTTATGGAATTTATTCGCTTTAAGTCATCTTTCGCCTTCAAAAAAGGTGACAATATATTCGATTATAATTATACATTGACCACGCAATCAATTAAAATCCGTTATAATCCATTTAAATCAAAGATTTAAATTGATTAGAATCCTATTAAAACACATCATAATAGATTATTATGTAATAAAAACAACACAAGTTTTTTCCTCATTTTTTCTATTTTCTACTTTATCAACAACCCTGAATTTAGTTCTAAACCTGCTTATAAATACTTGAAAGCTTACATGCGGCACAGGTACATAAATGGGGAAATTAATTAAAAAGCAGCAAAAACTAAAAATTCAAAAAATCATATCAACATATTAGATTTCTAACTAGAACAAATGAAAAAGCTATTGATATCTCGTCCTCTCTCCGAATGTTTTGAAATGCCAAGTCTATAAGTCATTTAAAAAAAAAACAATTTGGATTAAAAAAACTTCAAAAATCAAATTATACAAAAAATATCAACTTGTCTACGCAAACTAATTTGTTTCATGGTTTAGATTGTTTTGATGTACAATTATTTAATGATTTTTACTTCTAAATGCTACAATTTAGAACTGGCTATTACCAATTTCAAAAAAGTAAATGAAGAAAAATTTGCGTTAGTTACATTTTTTTGAGATCATGTACGTTAATAAAATAAAAAAAATTTGACCGTTTTTTGTTCATTAGAAATAATGAACGATTAGAAATAATGAACGACAAAATTTTTAAAAATCTAAGTTTTTACAGACAAAAAGCTTCGAAAACTCTTGATCATTTTTCATGAATTGATCAGAGTAGAAAAAAAATTGAATTTCACTTTTAGCATGCTTACAAATATAGTGTTAGAAAGCTGAAACAGAAAAATTGAACTCAAAAATATTGACTTTAACTAGAAAATGAACACATTTTACAAAACAAGCATTTTCTTGTCAATTTAGCAAGTTCCTATCACTTTATTCGGTCGAAACTAGATGAAAAACAAAAATTATATACCAGTTTTTCCCGACTCCGGGGAATTTTTTTGGAAAATAAAATAAAACACACCCGAACACAAAGTGCCTTTCCATTTTCAATGGCCGGGTCAATTAAATAAGTCAAATGGCATTCAGAACTGATTATATGTATAACCGCAATAAATTTGATTCTGTTTCGTCAAGCTATCTATGTATTGTACCTTTATTAAATTTAGTTAGGTTTCCTGAAGCGAAATTTAAACTATCGGTGTGTATGGGCTTCTTTTTAAAAAACCGCATTTTGTCTTTGTGCACAAAAAAAGCACTTAACTCTATTTGAACAGCGTTGAAACCTTTAAAAATTAGATTTTCTGTTTTTGACAAACAAGGGTTTTTTTTTTTAAATTGTAATAAATTAATTTTTTTTTGATAATTTTGCATTCATACTCAGATTCAAGCGGAAAACATTCGACGATTTCATAATTGCACCAAAATTTCCTGCTCGAAACCAAACTATAATTTTAATGCATTAAAATTTAAAACTTTAACGCAATAATAATTGAACTCTTATCACAAAAGTATAAGACAAAATGGATGGTTTATTTTTCAGAAACATGAGAATGAGTAGAATCAGTCCAGGAAAAATGTTTTTGATTTCATTTTCTTCCATTTACTTTAGGTTTAAATATAATTAAATCAGCTACAGGGCAGAATCAAAAAAACAAGAAAAAAAAGATTTATGGTGTTGAAGGAGGCGTTTGCAAAACATTCAAAAGACGTGATAGTTACCCTAAAAGAGAATTCTTCTTGGTTTTTTGTAATTAATCTGTTTAAATTTTCAACAACCGCTAATGGCAAATTGAGCCTAAAAGTCTGAGAGTGATTGCGCATAGTTTTTTTTAAGCAATACAAGGTCTTCTTTTTAGTCATATAGCAAGTAGTAAAATTAGTAAAATATCAAACCTTTTAAAAAAAATTTCTGTAAAACGGAGTCCTTATATCTGCTCTGAAAGCTCCTTTGTTATTCGCTATAGCTTTAAACACTCTTTTCATTCAAGGCGTACGCAAAAAAAAATCCAAAACGGTGAAAAGTATTTGAAAAAAGAAAATAAGCGCCAAAATTGCAAAAAATAAATTTGCTAAATCGCCGCTACTTTATCTCACATTCTCAGATTTCAGAACTAAATCAAACGCAAACTACTGTTTCGAGTCACAGTTATAGTATTGATCTCAAAAAATCAATCGTTCTTGACTTGTTCCCCTCATAATTAGACTGCTGCCTTACCTCAAATCACAATTTTTTGTTTTTCTTTTAGGAGACTATTTGGACTTTGACAATGGCCTGGTAGTTCCAGCAGGTCAGAGGAAAGCGGAGAAGCTTTTCAGGGAGATCAAAATGAAGATGCCGAACAAATTGATTCACAGAAAACCCATTTCTTGGAAGCCAGGTGACCCTAATTTATCCTTGAAGCAAAAGGTTCATTGCTGATCAGTCGACAAGGTAGCCGCGCAATATATATTTTATCAAAATGGGGGAGCGGTGGTGAAGTGGTTACGTCTCCGCCTCTCAGTCGAAAGGTCGGATGTTTGAGGCCCACCATGATCCGTGCTCGTTGCTTGAGGGTGAAGCAACATTACCTAGCCCAGAAAAATAACCAAAAAAATTGCATGTAGTTCTTAAACAGGGGTACAACAGCGGTTCGCCGTGATGAGCTGTACAGCTCTTGTGTTGGTCCTTTCCCGTGAATAAATAGTCTTAATCGTAATTTACTGCGCCGAAAAACCAAATTAGTATTAATTTCAACTGTTAGAATTGTAGCAGTTTCAAGATATATTTACTCAAAAACAAACATTCTGAATATATATTTTAAAAACATGAGAAATTTGTCAAGCATTTCAAAAATTAGAATTAAAATACTCCGTGAGTTTTCCACAAATCACCATTTTCAATTGAATAACCAGCATATTTTTCTTTTATGGAGGTCAAAACGGGTATCAGCATAATCGGCTTATTAATCTCTCGGCATGATCGGCTAATTATTGCATCGGCATAATGGACAATTTCAGGTGGAATTACAGCAGAGGAAAAACAACACAAAACGTATCTCTCCTACGTGCAAACCCAGAGCTACCTTGACCTCACAAGGAGAATATCGGCCGCCAAACTCCACCAACAACAACTTCTGTCTTTCTTCAAAAGCGACTCCCTTCAAGCACTTTTTCTAGAATGTTCCGCACAACTACTACACGTCGACACTTTGACTTTAAAAAGTCTGAGTCGCGACGGAATTCTGGAGTGGATTTTCGACACGATCGTTGAAAACCGGAAAATTCTTCTGACCCCGAATGAACTTTCAGGCGAAGATGATTGGCTAGATTATGTCGAGGCTTCGACCGGGATTCGGTCGACTCAACTTAGCCAATCACGAGGCACTGGCACGACTCGAACACGACTGACGAGACAAAAAATGACGTCGACTCCTAACTTCAGCCGACAAGCAACCCTGAAGCTATCGCGTCGAAATACGAAAGATAAGCTCCGTAGACAAAAACCACGCGAGAAGGTAGAATCGAGAGTCGAAAGTTCCGCAAGAGCTTTCAATGAAACCAGCGAGCATACAACTGATAGCGAAATCACCACGAAACTCAAAGACAGCAAAAAGAACAAAGCTCCTGATGAAAACTTTGAAGAAAAACGGGAATTGGTGGAAAATGTTGTTGATCACGTAGATTTTGATCCAACAGGTGAACAAATGATGTTCGATCATTCGATGGAGCATTTCCCATTCTTCATTATTGGAGATTCAAATTCCGGGAAATCAATAATGGCCGCTATGATAGTTAAGCATGCGAACACTTATTTGCCCGATTTTCATATAATTCCTCGGTTCTGCGGCGCTTCTGATAAATCTCGGTCATTTTTCGACGTGCTCGAGTCAATTTATCACAATCTGACCAAGCTATGTAAGATGGATTACACTAAACCGAGCAGTTTGCCTGAATGTGTGAACGGGTTTCAAAATCTGTGTGAACAAATCGCGATCTCGGAGAAACCTAACTTCAACTTTCGGATTTTGGTAGTCGTGGACCAATTGGAGGCCTTGACGTGCAACGATAGGAGCTTTGCGCTGAGTTTGAATTGGATGCCGAGACAGTTTTGTGCCAAATTGGTCTTTATTGTTACTGTGAACAAATGGTGTGTTCAATTGATGACGTCAGCACAATGTGTGACAAGGGAATCCTGGAGATTTTTCAAGGTCAGTCCAGCGTTTGAATCCCGCGCTCTGGTTTCTATCTGAAAACTATCGGAAGCAGTCATCAATTTTTTAAGATTGATTTTTGTGACAAAGGAGTCTTAAAAATTCAGAGCAAATATTTAAATTATCTTATTTTAAACTCCCGTCAAAGTAGCAAATGTACATCCAACAAAATTCTAATAAAAGTAAGAACCTACCAAGGGCGGATCTAGGATTTTCCGCGCCCCCTTAATCCCCGCCCCTAAATCCGCTGGTGGAACTATAACATGAGCTATCTACAGAGGCATGATTGGAAAAAAGATATGATTTGTAACTTAATTTGTGTTAATTTACAAAACCATATGTTTAACTTAGGCAACACTACTGTTCTGTTATTAGGCTTCTAATGTTGCGTGTATTTCAGCTTCCAGGTGAGTTGTCGCTGAACACGTGTCAGATGTACCTGGAAGACCTGATGATGTCGAAGGGGAGGAGTCTCACTGACAATCAGAAGACACTCATCACTCGCTCACTGAGAAACCAGCCAACCATGTTGCTTCTCAACTCACTCGCTAATCAGGCAAGCCAACAGACACTTCGGTCTTACTTTCCATTCTCTGAGGAGCGCCGAGGAAGTGGCAAGGTTTCTGGCTCTCAATTGAAAGGTCAAGTGTTCGAGGCTCACCATTATCCGTGCAGCTAATTACCCGAGAGTGATGCGAATATTATAGGGCGAGGCGAAATTACCCAGAAATTAACTAAAAATTGCAAGTAATTTCTAATCAGGGACTACAGTGGTTTTTCGTAAAGAGTTAGAGATTTTGTATAATGACTATTTTCCTTATTCTTTGAGGCAAAGACTAGAAATTTTGCTGGATGGATCCGTGAACTTAAATTTAGTGGAGTTTGTGCAACGTATCGCGAAACTTGGTAATGATATAAATTGATAGAGGACGAATTGGTGAGCTAATTAATGTTTCTCAGAGTTAATTATCAAAGACTTCAAACCTCAAAAAAGAGTTTCAGGCTCTTCTGTGGCGGAAGCGATTCCATTTGCCTGTGAACAAATTCGCATCAGTGAATCATCTGATTCAAATCTGTCACATCCGAGAAGCCGAGAAGAGATTCGGCAAATCTGTCATCCGGAAATTCTGCTCTTTGATCTGTGTCAGCCAATTTGGTCTCTCAGGTCAGCTTTCATTTTCACTTTAGGTCTCTGTACCCTCCCCCCCCCTCACTTCCACCACCATTACAAAGGGGGTTCGGGGTACAAATGTATCATAGGAGGATCTTTCTTTTGTTTCAAGCCAGGACTAATAAAATGGGCTGCAGTTAAGCTTCACAGCCCCAGGTTTGTCACGTGGATGGTAGCTTACTTCATAAATTCTCGCCTAGCGAGCTATTATATTTCAAAAAACTCTATAAAGTTGAAACTGCGAAGTATAAAGTTGAAACTGACTGCGATGCCTAACAAAAAAATAGTTCGACAAAGAGAAACTTCCAAAAAATATACTAGTAGCGGAATTCAAAACACTCACCGCCCAAAGGGTCTTTTCAAAACTATTTTACATGGAGCGTGCGCTAAAAAACGCCTCATTTTTGGCCGAAACCGTCTTAAAAAGCCCAAAAAAACATTTTCGGCCTAATTTGTCGAAAATACCGGGTCTACTTAACAATCTCCACCCCTTTCAAGAAAAGGGGGGGGGGATTGTTAATTAGATCAAAATGGTCGATTTTTCGACCTGTCAGAATGCAGCAAAATTAGAATTCTCCATAGAATTTTATTGAGAATTTTGATTTTGCTGCATTCTGATTGGTCGAAAAATCGACCATTTTGATCTAATTAACAATCTATCCCCCTCCCCTCTTTATTGAAAGTTGTGCAGATTGTTCAGTAGATCCGGCATTTTAGCCAACTTTTTTTGGAAAATGCTTCATATCCTCCATTAAAGCTCTATTGTTTATTTACTGTATTTATTTATAGGGTTGGAGATTCTTAAGGTACCATAAAGGGGGGGGGGGGGGGGGTGGAGAGATTGTTAAGTAGATCCAAAATGCCAACGAAAAAATTGTTGCCTAAATTGGGCCTTTTAGGCGTTTTAGATCTCAAAAAATGTATTTGGCTGACTTATAAAAAAATGTTCAAAAAAGTTTTCGGATATTTCTAATTATGAAATTTTTCTCAAAATCCGCCTCTTCTTCTTCGAGAGAAGATCCAATATCAGCTGCTGATTTCAGAAATAGAGCTTCTTGATCTTCTGTCTTATTCTGACGAAGCTGTGGACGAAGTGTATGCTGCACAGGGTGTTCTGCACAGAAATATTGTCAGATTACCCCTCAATTGGTGGCTACAAGTGAGGTAGGAATGTGAAATGTTTTTCTAATCATTTTCAGCAAAAAACACACGAGTCAAAATTTTTTGGTATTTTTTAATCAAGATTTGGCAAGATTGGCGGTTTTGGAATCAAAAAAGTGTCTACCGTTCAAAAACAGTTCTAATTTTGGGCTCATTTGAGAGACTATTGCAACCTACTTGAGAAATGTTTGTCTTAAACGTTTGCATAGAAATTCTTGTCAATTAAAATTGTTTTAACCTTAAAAACGATATAATTTCAAACAAAAACAAGAATTGTTGTGCAAGTTTCACAGAATAATCCGACCATATTCATAAAATAAATAGAAAAATAGTTTTTTTTTCAAGTTTCTTCAAATAATGTCGTTTTTAGGGCGTAGTGTGAACTAATTAATCGCGTAGAAAAATATTGAATTAAGCATAACCGGCAGCATTTGAAGTTAAAAAATGAATCACAAACAAAGAAAAATTATTTTAAAAATTTCTTACAATTTTTTTCTAAATTTCTGCACAAAATTTATTTTTTTGGAAACTTTTTTGCCAAATAAGCCCAATATGAAACATCAAAACCTAATCCTTAGTTTTATAAAAAATGAATATTTTTGAACTTAAAAGTCTTTTAAAAAGTACATTTACATACCAAGGGCCGTTACTTGATCGCGTTACTCGCTCGAAATTAGACTAAATCTCAAAAACTGCAAACCTTTTTTTCTCGACATGGGACAGTTGTTTGAGCATTTTAAATTATCGTGCAATTCACGACCAAAAAGGCTTCAATATTACATATCACTTGACTTATTCCAGTGATTGTTTGCGGTACCTGATTTAGCGCGGAAAACAAAAAAAATTATAACACACCCGAATACCAAGTTTCTCCCCATTTTTCAAATGGTCGGAACAAAAAGAGAAAAGGCTCTTATGACTCTTGAAAAATGATGTTCATTTTATTTTCCAGGTCATATTTTGTTAATCTGTTGAAAGAAAAGAAGATGGGCAAAACTTTTCTTCTGACGTGGGCAAACAAAACATACGCAGAAGTTTTCAGACGCAGCCTTCTCCACGAAAATGAAGAATGCGAGGTCAGTTGATACAGAAAAGAAGTACATATAATGCAATTCTGTACTGTAATAAGTAATGTTTCATCCTTTGAGTTTTTATTGCAATATTTCGTAATTGAAGAAAAGTTGTCACTCTCTTACAGAAATAAAAAGAAAACAACATATGGGCGTGTCGGGTACTAACTGGGTTTTCTTCTTTGTCTTGTGCGTCAGAAAATTTTGGTTTATTTTGTGCCATGCAAGGAATTTTTGGTTTTGCTTTCATATGAACACTTTTGTTTGTCCATGAACATCTGAGCACGTTCTGTTTTCATCTCAACCGCAGAGGTCAATTCGCAAACTTCTTCTGGACTACTTCATGGGTAGACTTGTTAATCCCGACTCTCCATCTCACATGGAGGGCGAGAAGAATGAGTCATCGCCATCAGCACACAACAGATGCATCAGTCGGCAACAACTGAAAGTGAGCAACGGCGTGTACAATACACGTGCCATGGAGGAGATTGTGTTCCAGTTCGGGAAACTACTCGATCAACAAGTAAGAAAAACACGGAAAAACACGTAAGAAAAACAAGCTACAATTCGTAACAAGCGACAATTCGTAACAGGCGACAATTCGCAACAGGCGACAAGTCGTAACAAGGCATTGGTAAGTAAAATACGTTTTCTCCGCTTCGCTCCGCTGTGCTTACGTCTGGCTCGATAGGAATACTGCGCGTGAATTAGTGCTCCCCGCTTAAACTACTGTTACCAATTGTCGCTTGTTACCAATTGTCGCTTAATACCAATTGTCGCTTGTTACCAATTGTCGCTTGTTACCAATTGTCGCTTGTTACCAATTGTCGCTTGTTACCAATTGTCGCTTGTTACCAATTGTCGCTTGTTACCAATGGTCGCCTGTTACTAATTGCCGCTGTTAAGAATTGTCACCTGTTACTAATTGTCGGCTCACGTTCAAGAAAGGGAAGATCCGGGAAAAAAACTTATTAATTGTAACTCTCTAGCTATCTTGAGACGTTTAATGCGAAGAATTAATACATTTTCAATTGCTTGCTAAAATATTTCGATTGTGTTCGGAAGGGAAAAAATATAGAGAATAATCAACGCAATGACTAAATGGATATAAAGCCAAAAAAATAAAAATAGAGTGCAACATAAATATAAACACCATTTATCTGAGTTTTTTTTAAAATTTTTTTTGATCTTTACCTCAAGTTTTGCTGTTTTTCCATGGTTGTTCCTCTTTTTTTTTATTAAGAGTCGATGAGCGTAATGCAGACTCTTATATAGGTTGCGATGATTTTTTTTGTTGTTTTCAGGAAGAGTCTTAAAAATTGTTCAGGCTCAAATTTATTTTTTCGCGGTTTGATTTCTTTTCAAGTTCAGTTCATTCCTTTGTTAAAAGGAAGGCAAGCTCCACTATCGAACAGCGAAAGAGTAAAAGTCCCGAAAAACGAGATAAACCTCTAGTTTAAAAACTGGAATTTAATTATCGAATTTTCCAGCGAAAACAAAATTTTACGTACTGGTCCAGTTTTCTCAAATTGGGATATTTTTATCAAAAAAGTATCTATCATAAATTGTTCTAGAAATTCAAGAACACTTTAACGCCGTCTATTTTTTTATTTGAAATTCGAAAGTTGAATTTTTTTTCAAAAACTAAGTCCGTATTTTTTTCTGTGTACGTGCGTTCATTGAATCTTTTCCAACTGTCTGTTGGCTATGTTTTCTTAAGTAATGCTAAATTGTCTATGTTTTTAATTCCATAATTACTCTGAAATCTAATTCTGATTTCTTTCCAGGACATCGTAACATTCTACTGCGACTTCAAGAACCTTCTCTATTTGATCAGAGGTCTAACAATAGAGCGAGTGATTCAGTCTATTCGCTCCATCAACTTCGAACTCTATCGCAAAACCAGCACTCGAAATTCAATTTTAACTGCCCTTGAGAAGATGCTGGAAGTGAACCGGGAGAGTTTAGCAGATGATTCAAACAGTTTGTCACGGGTATTGCAAACTGAAGGATTTTCAAGTGAAATAGACACAACAACTATTAGTAAGTCAGATGATGTTTCTTTGTTTTTTCTGCACCGAAAACTATCGAATTAGCTTAGCAAGCAATTAAAAATGTATTAACTCATTGTCTTAAACAACTCAAGACACAACTATGAGTATGCTTTATTTTTTTTCTGCATCAAAACGATCAAAACAACTGTGAGTAACTTCATATTACTAATAGGCTTGGGTTCAGTCCGCTGCAAACCGAAAAAAAATCAGTTTTTTTGAAGATATGATTTTTTTTAGAAATGAGTTCCTTTTACTAGAAGTCGCGTCAACGTTTGAACTCTTGAACTGTAATGGTTATAAAATCTATTGTGAGCAGCGGCAAGAAACACGCACTTTTTTACCACTGTGAAACGGATTTTGGGGAACTTTTTTGGGGGGGTGATGTGGGGGATTGTTACAGGAGGGGTGTTGCCGGAGAAGGGGGATTAATGGCGATGGTGATTGGAACTATTGGGGCCAATATAGAGTCTCTCTGAAGAGCTGTATGTTCTTTCTCTCTCGGGGATCCTGGGGAATGGTCCTAGCTGGGTAGAAATCTATATCTTGTGAAACAAGCGCAATGTTTCAACTTTGACTCTAGACAAAATCAAGAATGACGCGATAGTTTGGTTCCAAAGAAGTACAACTCCTCTAATGATGCCAGTACACCTGGAAAAAGAGGAGTGTAATCAAAACGAAGATTTCGATCCGACAGGAAAGATAAAGCCAACTTCCATTGTCAAACTAGGTGAGAACGTTTTTTCCAAAAAAAAATATTTTATTAAGTTTAATCCCGAATCCATAAAAACGTTATGCAAGACTATTTTCTGGTCTCCTCTTGTCTGCATAATTAAGTAAACTAAAAATCGGCAAAAAACATGAAATCTACTATAATTTGACATTTTATTGGATATATTTATAACCATTTATGTCAAAATACTGAGCTTTTGCTTCTTTACAAAAAGAACTCAAACTATCCGCTTCTGTCTCATTTTATATTTACTTATTTTTTTTTGAAAACTTTAAATAATAAGTTTCTGTCGCAGCCAATCAAGTAGTTAAAGTTATTTATGCTCCAAGCAGTTAATTATGTTTTTGTCTCCTCAGATGAAGATGTGCAAAAAGTGTTCTCAATGAGTCACTGCGGTACCAAACTGCTGAGGACGTCAACTACTTCTAGAAAGTTCTGGATCTATGACTCAGAGAAGAGAACATGTGAAGAGGTTTTGCCGGAAGAAGAAAACGGAATCGACATGAAGATGTACAATGAGCTACTTCCAAAGTAATGAACACTGTAGATTATACAATTGTCAAGTAAACCAAACACCCCCCCCCCCCCCTCAAAAGGGATGTATTTCCCGCATCTCTTTTTGAACGCATAGAACTAAGGTTTACCGCATTTTTTCACCCGGTATCAGGGCCGATACCCATAGCAGCCAATTAACATTTGAAACAAAGAAAGTTTCAGAAAATTGAAACAAAGGCCATTTTAGATGTTACTTCTTTTGACATCCTGTCAAAATTTTTAGCATGTTAATGACGTTGAACCAACTTAGTGGAAAAAAAATCCCTTTCAAATTCATTCGTTAGAGAGGGGTATAACCGGAAAGACCTACAAATCATCTATTTGATGAAAAAGACATGGGTTTAATACATTTTTTTTATTTTTTCTACGAGTTGACTTTCGCAAAAACCTGTCGCATAATGACGTGATTTGACGCTTCATAACGAAACACGATAAGATTTTCTCAAATTAATTATGATTTTTCTTTCATACTGAAAAAAAAACGTTCGTATTCAAATCTCCTCCTTCATTTTAAGTTTCAAAAATTACTTTGATCAAAACTCATCTTGAGATCCATCGAAAATTTTTAAAATAGTAAATTCGCATTTTTTTTTAGTTTGGGTCTAATTTGGAACGGATCTAGCTGGCAAATGGTGAACGAGTGCAACTGGACTCTTGTTAAGTTCCCACAGCAAAGTGAATCAGCTGAAGCATCCAGAAGTAACTTCGAAGACTTCGCTCCAAGACTCATTCCAAGTGCACTCGGAATGGATTGCATAGCTCTCCAACATCAAATCTATGAGCTGTTCGAACCATCAACTGACCAATCACAGATCGAGGAAGGATCGAATGAAGAAATCGACGAACAAGATATCGAGGGAGTGATTAGCCAATCAGATGTCTGCTCGGTTGTGGCCAGGACAGTCGTTGAGTTATTCTCTTTCAAAGTATGTCAAACTTTTTACTTGCACAAGCAGGAAATGAAGCAAAATCGCAAAAACTTGGGCCAATAAAAATTAATCTGTGAACTTCACATGCAAGTTTTACGCAATTGATTCTTCTTTAGACTATCATCAAAACATTTTTACTCCTAACTTGAACGTTCCGTGCAATATCATTCACTCGTAAGTTGTACGCTCCGTATCGCAAACTCACGAAACTTCGTTATTACAAAAAATAAAGAATAGAACCCAGATTTTATTCTTATGAAATCACATATTCCTTATTTAAGACGAGAGAGTGGCTCTCACTTCCGCACTTAGCCGAGTGGGAATCATCCGACTCTCGACTCCTGTTCACACTTCCCTTCTTCGCCTCCTTCGACAACTTGGTGGTTGCAAGCGTGCTGTCGGGTGGCTCCGGCGGCGGAGGGAGTGTGGTACTGCAGAGCGAGGAGACCGAGTGGGTGATTCGAGACCCGGATGACCTCGAGGATGAGGAGAGTGAATTCGAAGTGAAAAATTTCGAAGAATTTGTTGCGCGTACGTAAGAATTCAAGCGTTTACTGGCCATCTTGCCGCCAAATTTAACCAATACGATTAAAAAACATAACAAAAAAGATTAACAACACCTTCAATTTTTCCAAAATTACAAAACATGAGTTAGGCAAAAAATTTTCTTAATAAATCCAAATTGGTGGCAATATCGGTGACATTGGTATAAGAGTCTTCACCACGTTCTCCGACTCTTGATAACAATTTTTACGTTAATTAGATGTTTAACACGTTTTCGTCGCTTTGAGTAAGTGAAAATTAATCTCCCAAATTAGCAGTCTTAGCTTTAATAACTATGTTCAGATTCATTAAAGGAAAAGAATGGTGCCGACAATTTAGCCCTAAATATAACATATTAGGAAAAGTGGTTTAATTTTAAGCGATTGAAAACGAAGGCGACCAAGAGGAGGAAGCAGTAGTGTTTCGCGAGGAGGCGGGCGATGACGAGTTCGCGGTGCGAGTGATAGACGAGAAGCCGCAGACGACAGCCGAGAACGAACTCAACGAGGCCGAGTTCGACTTCGGAGACGACGATCATTTCGCGAATGACGAAATAGAGCCGAGTTTGAGTCCGGGTGCGTGGAAGAAAGTGAGCGTGACCAAAAGAAGGATGCTCAAATTCAATGATCTCCTTGAGGAGTCGCAGCTTCCGATACTCTATGCTGTAGGCACTTTTACTACACTTGTTTTTTTAAAATCTTTTGAAGTTCTTTTCAAATACTCTTCTCGATATTTGTACAAATGAGTTCTTAAACATACAAAAAATTTTGGAAAAGTTTGAAAAAATTTATTGACAGGGGCTTCGTTTTAATTCCTTCTAGAATATTCTGACACTTTTCGCCCAATCGTCTCTTATTCTGGTGGACTTAGTAGAAATCCAGTACTCGCGTGTTCCTTGTGACGAAGTCTACGACACCAATTTCGAGAAGGGATTTATTCTGATGAAGAACAATGAACACTCCTCCCCTTTTGTATACAGCGTAGAAAATCAGAAACCTATTTGCTTCATACCAGGTATGCAATTTCAAAATCATTTCTAACAATTCAAATATATAATCGATCAAACAATCATAAACAGACAAGTAGAAATAATTGTAAAGTTGAGGAAACAGCTGGCGCATTAGGCTGATTTTAAAAAATTGAGTTTAAATTATGTCATATGCAAATATAATTTAGATAAAAATTAGGAAAATTAAGGCCGGATAAATTACCTAATTTAATGAACCTAGAGATTTTTCACCCGGCTGATTTCTTACTTATTTTATTGGATAACAGTCATACATTTTCAACAATTAGAGACTTTGATTTCAGAAAAACATCATTTTCTGAATTTCGTACCCAATCAAGCTTTCATTATTGGCCAGAAAGGCACCAAAATCAATTTCTACAAATGGAACATGGACGCAACAGTTTCCAATAGTGAAGAACGCCCACATTTCGCTGAACATATTCTGGAACTGAACGACGAGCTAATCAACCCACAAATCTGTCCCAAAATTCAACTTGGCAGCCTGATTTTGTTCACCGAAATGGGAATGGCCACGTATGACCTCGACAAGTTATTGGGAAAAGAAAATGGAGCTGAGATTCAGTCATTGTATGAAGTCTTTTTTGAAGCCGATTCCAAATCGGAATCGCGAGGAGCTCACAAAGAGAATCATTACGTCGCCCGAAAATGGCAAGTGTAGGATATTTTTTTTGTTCCGAGCACTATATTAATCATAACTAGTTAATGGAACAATTTTGTTCATTACAAACAGCAGTGAGATGAGAGTTAGCATGGGGGCGTTTTTGTACGCAAAACCAGTAACCACAAAGACACATTGAAGAAGGTCGGGGTAAATAACTTATAGAAGCCAGCTAAAAGTTGAAAAGTTCGAAAAAAAATATTGATGTCAAGAAAGCAGTGGTTTGAATAATTTCACCATTCAGAGGACATCAAAGCGAAGATGAACATGCCAGAAAAATTAAGCTTTCTTTAATTAGGCTGCTAATAAGTGGTTATTGAAAGTTTACTTAGCACCTCCACCTCATTTCCTAATTTTTGCTTAAAATTTTTGCGATAACTGTGAAAAGAACGGATATTTCGATGCTACTTGAACAGCAACTGGTTTTTACTTTTTACAAGGACATGTACCAAAAAAGATTTTTTTTTGCATAAAAGGCAACATATTATTGCGAACTGTTGCGCAAACGATAAAAAGGTTTATTATGTAATAAGGCAGAAAACTGGTCGCAAACTGGACACCATTCATTGTAAAGTTAGGACATTTATAACTAAAAAAAAAATCAATTTGCGGCAACGCCGTGGAACTGTGCAGCCTGGTTGTAGGCGCCTCTGACCCTGTGTTGACATTAAGCACTAAAACTCCTTAAAATTAAGCACTAAATCTCCTTGATAGCAAAATTTCCAGTATGTATCTGCTACTCAAAATTGAGCCAAGTCCACTGGTAAGTTCCCAAAATCGTATGATTGAAGGTTTGCATTTGAAACTACGAGCAGCCCTGAACCCAATGTACAAAATCTGATTAGTATTTTGAAATAAAATTTTTCAAAATTCATTTGATTCTAACTTAAGTTCCTCTGCCAATGCATAAACCACAACTCCTTGTTGTAGAATAATTTAAACATCAGCGGTGTGACTTTTTAGTAGTTGTTTTTCCATAAAATTTTTCTCAACATGTAGCACATACGAAAAAACCTGGATAAATTATTTTGAATTTTAAAATACATTCTGTAAATTGAAGTTTAGAATCAATATGAATTCTTTTTAAAAACAAGGTTAGCTGGTTGCTGTGTAAGTAGCATAGAATGTCCCGATCAAATTGATTTAGGAAAAACAAAAAAAAATCAAGTTTTGTGCCTAAACTTTCTCGCATTTTGTTCTTGACAGAGCGATTGAAAGATCAAAACTATTCAGACCAGTTTTTCTCGACAGTGAGACAACATCTTCAAAATTTACATTTCAAAATCCGAGTCACGAACAAAAGGACTTTAATCTTGTTGCAATTCAAATGTAGAATAAAACAAGAGTATAGATGCATATAAAATAAGCACAGTTGGCCAAGCGGACTAAGACAAAGTAAGCTAACGCCGATTATATGTGTGAAAAAACAGTTGACGTAGGTTCAAGTCCCCCACCTGCCCATGTATTAATATACTAAAAACGGGGGTTACATCCTATTTTAACTGTTTTTTGGTTCTAATTCGGTTCAGCCTTGATTAAGGTTGACCGCCAAAAAGAGCAATTTGTCTCAAGGACATTACCGACCGGTTCTTGTGGCTAGCTTGCGCCGATTTGTACCAAAAACGCGCAGATGCTAAAAATGTTGCATGATGTCCTGATCAATAGAAAAATACCGAAATTTATCTATTGCCTGAGTTATTTACCGATGAATATCTTTTAATAATTTACGAATTTGGATTCAATTATTTTCGTTTGGAGATAAGCGAGCATATTTTGGCGCCCCACAAGGGACTACTGTTGTTAGTTCCCTTTCGAACGTTTGGCGGACCCGAATGTATCTTTCCGTCAGTTGGCCGAAAGTGGGCGTTTGGCCGAATTGTGACCAGTTGCCCGAAAGTCCAGTCTGCCAGACATCAGAGTGTTTTATTTGGCCGATTGTTGTGTTTGGCCCATTTCAACACGCGAGGCACGACGAGTGTTTGGTTTGGCCGATTGTTTTGTTTGGCCCATTTCAACAGGCGAGACACGACGAGTGTTTTATTTGGCCGAAAGTAGTCAGAGTAGCAGTTAGCCGAATTTGCCGAAAGTCGTACGAACGCAAAAGTCGGCCGATTAGTCTAATATTGACTTGGCCAAAACTCCTCGGAAGCCAAATTTGGCCCAACTCCCAGTTGGCTGAAAGTCTTCGCAAGCGAAAGTTGGGCGATTACTCAGTTAGCCGAAAGACTACTTGGCCAAAATTTGATGTATGCATTTAGCAGGTGAGCTTGTCAGCAGACAGGCGACAGAGCAGACATGCGAAAGAGCAGACTGTTGGAAGAGGGGCCTGTTCCGGTGCCCTGATTGTGGACTTTTGAGCTGTGTTTTCTCGACACCCGAAGTTTTGGATTTTTTCCCGGTGTCGCCAATCTCCAATTAAAAACTGTAAGACGTTTCCAAAAACTTTTAAAACTCTCCATTCGTGCTTTAAATTTATATACGATGTCATATATGCTAGAAATTTTCCCGCAAGCTAGCCCTCGGTAATTTTTCTCAATACCCAAAATTTTTGGACAGTTCTGTTGAACTGAAGTATCTTAAAGTCGGTACATAGACAAACTGACTTGACATTTTTTCTCGATACCAAAAATTTTTGGATATATGTGAACGGAAAATTATTCAGTGAAATCGGAACATAGACAAGAGGTACTGGACTAGTTTTTTGGATTGGTTTATGACTCGAACCTGCTGACCAAAATTTACTGAAAAATTTTGTGAAAAAAGTAAAAAAATTAACAAAAAATCCTCAAAACGTCTCCAGAATTCTGCGAAACTGTGCTGTAAGATGAAACCAACCTTATGTTAAGTGGTCTGGTAGCGAAATATCAGGCAAATTAAGTTGAGTTTTTTCATCCTCAGGTTTCTTCCGCGTGTGTTGTTGGAACTTAACCAATTTGCCTGATCCCCCACCCACCATTGGTGAAACTGAAAGCCAGTTCGCTTCCAGTAAAACAAAGGCGTTTCAGCCCGTCCGATTATTGACTTCGTTGCGTGACAGTAAAGTTAAGTGGTCAGGTACGATGATATTAAGTGAGTTAAGTTGAATTCTTTCATCCTCAGGTTTACTCCGTGTGTGTTGTTGGAGTTCAACCGACCTACTTAATTTTCCAACCCCATTGGTACTTAAGCGTAACAAAGCCGTCGCATAGGTCCCCTAAGTGTATGGTATTCATTCTAGGAGCTAGTTCTTTGGATCACGCGCTCCGAAAACTTCCCGCTCCGTCCCAGAAGCGCGTCAAAGATACTTGCTTTACGAAGCCAGGTTTAAGTTTGAATTTTAACGCTAGGGACTCTCAGAAAACAATACAGTACTACCTTCATCACTACTTGTCGCACCGTAACGATCTTGTAATTTGGCACGACGCCATTAATAACTCGATAAGTAGGCACCGCAGCAACAATAACCGCAAGCTGAGTCGTGAGCAACTTGTCAATTTGTTATTAAGGTATAGGACAAACATTGTGCGATCGTATACTGTAGACGGAACGGAACCGAGGATATAGAGGAAATTTTAGGTTCAACAGGTATTCTCGTTCTGAACGTCGTTAAAGACTTTATCTCTAAGCGTAAGGCTACAAGTACTTATTTGCTGGCGATGGCTTCTCATCTTCTGGAGTAAACCCAACGCCGGTTTTCTTTTCGGCACCTAATTGCCATGCAGCGCCAGTCCAGACGCAACATAATCTTCCCTTTGTTCCGCATACTGTGTCACCTAATATCAACGATTACTACACAAACTTATGGCGATTGGCAGCTACAACTCCAATCGTCACGCCTGCTCAGTGTTGTAATGCTGGAAACATTTTTTCTAATGTGACAACTATTGTCCCATCGTGTAACACCGCCGCTCCGTATACTAGTGGTGAGACTGTGTATTTTAATAATCCCCCAGTTCATCCACAACGTGTTCCGCATTTTGTCAATCATACTAATACTGGTTATCAGCCAGTCAACGAAGACTACGCACCGTCTTCTGCTTATCCGAACCAAGGTTGTTCATCGGATCGACCTCTCTCCGCTCGTGAATTGGCAGAATTATTGATGCATAGCCGCAAAGATCATCTTCCTGAATGGAAGTTAGCCCAGTTTGACGGCAACCCGTTAAACTGGCACGAATGGTTTGGTCAGTTTAAGTCCACCGTTGATTCCGCTGTTCTCACCGATGATACGAAACTGACATACTTAAAAACGCTCGTCACAGGCAAAGCAAAAACCGCAATTGCGGAGTTTAGTTATAGTGGCGTTATGTACAAGGATGCACTGGCCACCTTGCAACGGAAGTTTGGGCAACCACATGCCATTGTTGGTGCGCATCTTGATAAGCTGAATACTTTTCCTCCACTTAAGATGCACAATTCGGAAAATGTCATTAGTTTCTCCTCTGCCATATCTGGCCTCGTAGCAGTTTTCAAATCATTGTCTTTCAACGATGATCTAAAGAGTGTTAACCTGTTAAACCAAGCTGTTAGTAAACTTCCGCCTAACCTCAAGGAGGCTTGGTCAATGCATACTGTTAGACATAAGTGGCATCGACCAATACTCTTAGACTTTAACAACTGGTTGAAAGAAAAGGCCGAGGGGCATGAAAGATTACGTTTACTCAACTCTAAGGCAAAAACGAGGAGCCGGTTAAACCAAAAACAACCAAAACTTTGGCAGCCAATAGCCAGGTAACTAGTAAGGCTCAGGATAAGTCTAAGTTTCCGCCGTGCGTTTTGTGTAAGGGTAGTCATGCATTGTGGAATTGTGCTGTTTTTAAGGAAAAGAATCTTACTCAGCGAGCAAAACACGTAGCTGAACAGAAACTTTGCTTCGCTTGCCTCAATGGCAATCATAGTTTCCGGCAATGTTCTAGAGCAAAAAAGTGCCCGAAGCCAGAGTGTGATAGCACACATAATGTCTTGCTCCATGGGGCCGAAAGAATATTTCCTCGGAAGGAAAATTCAAATGTCTCGAATAAGGCTGGAACAAACAAATCCAAGGAGAATACAAACACTTCCACCCATGCCGCTGTTAGTGATGTACATGACATTGAATCTTCTAAAGGGTTGTTGCCAATTGCAACACTTGGTGTATCCTCGGATGTAACCAGTCTCCTGACGTTGGTTCTTTGTGATAGTGCATCGAATCACTCCTGGGTGTCTTCGTCACTCGTAAACCGTCTCGGCTTAGTAGGGGAGCTCGTTAACTTGTCAATTAGTGGTTTCAATTCGACCACCGTTGTTGAGACTCAGAGGGTCAAGTATACAGTTTCCTCCGAGCCGAATAATGGTGATTTCGTATTTTCTCTCTGTGCATATGTTAAGGACAATATTCGGATTGGTTCCGAATTAATCAATATTGCTGATTTGCAGAACAAATATCCACAATTAGCACCTATTAAGCCCATTCAATATACTTATGAGGACGTTGAAGTTATTATCGGACAAGATTACTACCACGCCGTTAGACCCATTGAGTTCATCTTGGGAGATGATAAAAACTCACCGTGTTCCGTTCGCCTACCGATAGGTTGGGTCTTAAGTGGTCCGTTGCCGCCGTCCGGTAATTCTACTTCTTCGTGTTTCAAGTGTGTTGTTGAAGATTCTTCTCTGACCGACCAGATAAAATCCTGGTAAGAGTTGGAATCGTATGGTGCTTTCAAACAAGTCGAAGCCCGTTCCGCCGCGGATAAACATGCTTTATCCATCCTCAATTCTGAAACCGTTCACAATGGCGAAAGATACATTGTGCCTATGCTTTGGATTGATAGTAATGTCAGTCTACCAAACAATTATTACTCATCACTCGCCCAATTTAAATCATTGGAGAGAAGGTTAAGTAAAGACCCTGAGCTGCGCGAAAGATACGCAGAAACAATTAGAGAGGACATTAGGAAAGGCTATGTCGTTACCGTCGAACCGCATGATCCACGTAAGCGTTCCGATCGCGAGTGGTATCTTCCGCACCATCCCGTCGTAAATCCGAATAAGCCGGGTAAGGTGCGCCGAGTCCTTAATGGGGCTTCTAAGTTTCACGGCACATCCTTAAATAAGTCCTTATTGGTGGGTCCTGACCTACTCCAAAATTTAATTTTTGTGCTTTTGCGATTCCGTCAACATAAGTACGCCGTCTCCGCGGATATAGAGGGTATGTTCCTCCAGGTAGGAGTCCTTGCCCGCGATCAAATTTCGCTCCGTTTTTTGTGGCGCGAGGATACCACTTCCGATGTGGTAGTTCATCAGTACACTCGCCATATATTCGGCGCACGGGATTCGCCTACGTGCGCCAATTTCGCGTTGCGAAAAACAGCAACTGATAATATGTCCACATACCCTGAGGCCGCCTCAGTCGTAAATGAAAAATTTTACATGGACGATTACTTGGATTCATTCGAGAACGTTACCCAAGCAATTAAAACTAGTCGCGATTTGGTTTCCTTACTAAAATTGGGAGGATTTAATTTGACTAAATTTGTCAGTAAAGCTGATGAAATCACTTCAGCAATGAACCCCGAGGAATCCGAATCCTCATCTTCACCCATCAAGGAAATATGTAACGGTGCCGAACAATCATCACACGTCTTAGGTCTTAAGTGGGACCATGTGAAAGACACATTGGTTGTTAGCAGAGGCGTGGATCGTCCTCTCGATAAAGCAATAACTCAACGAACCGTCTTGAGTTTCGTCTCTTCTGTGTTTGACCCTGTTGGGTTAGTAGCTCCATACACAGTTAGGGCCCGTCTTTTACTGAAAGATATTTGGAAAATCAGTGGTCAAAGTTGGGACGACGAATTGCCAGAAGACATAAGAGATAAGTTTCTCGAGTGGCACTCCGGTCTCCCTCTCTTAGGGCAATTGACTATTCCCCGTTGTTACTTCACAGAGCCTGTTGATCAAATTGAGCTCCACATGTTCGGTGATAGCTCGCAGGACGTTTTCTGTGCTGTTGGATTTTTGCGTGCGCGACTCGCGAGCTCGCATAAAACTCAAATATCCTTCATCTTTGGTAAAGCTCGCGTTGCGCCCATGAAAGCGCTATCTATACCGAAGCTAGAGCTTCAAGCTGCTCTGCTCGCCACACGACTAAAAGATGATATACTGACCGCCCTTACCGTCTCTATTAATCATGTCTTTATGTGGACAGATAGTACAACAGTTTTGCAGTGGCTAAACTCTACTGAAAAATTACCTGTTTTCGTCGCCAATCGTGTCGGCGAAATCCTCGAGTCGACCACTATTGATGAGTGGCACCATGTTCTGAGCGGCGATAATCCAGCTGATACCGGTACGCGGGGGATTTCTTCGGAAGCCCTCAAGGATAGCAGCTGGGTTATTGGTCCGAGCATTCTCAGGACTACTGATTGGCCGTTTATACCCGACGAACGTGTAATCAATAAAATTCGTTTGAAGGGTCCTTCTTGTGATGTTGATAATTGCTTGGAGACATCATTTTCCTTCGTCACCGATGTCACATCAATCAAACATCCCGAACACGGGTTCAATTGGGAAAGGTTCAGTTCCTTTACAAGATATAAACGAGTAGTCGCTTTTATGTTGAGGATGTTGCCTTCACATAAGCATTTTCGTGGTAAGTACTTACGAATCACCGACCCCACTGAACTTGATATTGCAGAAAGCAAACTGATTCATCTTGCTCAGATGGAATCCTTTCCCGTTGAGTTAAAAACACTCACCGCTGGCAAACCTATTAAGAATAGTAGTAAAATTGCCACATACTCGCCATTTATCGGTCCCGCTGGAATCATTCGTTCCACCGGATGGATTGTGCGCTTAGTGAATACCGAGTTTGATACTAAGCACCCAATAATATTCAACGTCCGACATACCTTAGTTCGTTTGTTGGCCCGCAGCCTCCACCATAAGCATTTTCATCAAGGTTACATGCGCTCCGTTTTAAATATGAAATATGCAATACTTGGGTTGCGTCGACTGCTTCGGTTTATCGAAAATCAATGTGTGACATGCCGTAAACGCAAAGCGAGCACCATCCAGCCAATTATGTCCGATTTACCGGTCGAACGTCTCGGATACAAGCAACCACCCTTCAATCATACGGGTGTGGATTACTTTGGACCGCTTTACGTTCCGGTTCGCAGAAGCACGGAAAAAAGATGGGGATTTCTTTTTACTTGCCTCACCACCAGGGCTGTACACATTGAGAATGTACCGTCTCTGGACACCAGTTCGTGTGTCATGGGCATTGAACGGTTCGTTGCGCGCCGTGGTACGCCAAGCACAATCTGGTCGGATAATGGCACGAACTTCGTTGGTGCGGAAAAGGAATTACTTGCCTGCATCAAGAGCTGGAATGGCATGGCTCCGACCATTTTTGCACACAAAGGTGTTACTTGGAAATTTAACCCGCCAGGCGCACCCCATCATGGCGGCTCCTGGGAACGCCTCGTCCGAAGCGTGAAGCGCGTGCTGTACGATATCCTAGGCAGTAGGCGAGTCACTGAAGAGGTGTTAGGAACAACACTCTGCTTAGTTGAACAGGCTTTGAATTCGAGGCCAATCACTCCCGTTAGTACCGATTCACGTGAGTTAGAGGCGTTAACCCCAAACCATTTTTTGCTTGGACAACATGCCACAAGCTTTCCTTCGCTTTTACCCGGGGAGCACTTCGATCACAAGAAAAGGTACGTGCGAGCGCAGTCATATGCTAACGCGATTTGGTCTCGTTGGCTTCGAGAATATGTTCCCTCGCTGAATAAGCGTGTCAAGTGGCACACTCATTCTGACTTCACTCTTAAAACAGGCGATCTCGTGTGGGTGATTGAGCCCGATAGTCCGCGTGGGTACTACCCTCTCGCCCGAATCGTCAAGCTAAACTACGGACAGGACGGTTGCGCCCGATCCACCCTTGTCAGGACCGCAACCCGTGAAGTCACGCGGCCGACCGTTAAGCTCGCTCCGGTTCTTCCTTCTTCAGGGGGGGAGGATGTTGCAATGCAAATGTAGAATAAAACAAGAGTATAGATGCATATAAAATAAGCACAGTTGGCCAAGCGGACTAAGACAAAGTAAGCTAACGCCGATTATATGTGTGAAATAACAGTTGACGTAGGTTCGAGTCCCCCACCTGCCCATGTATTAATATACTAAAAACGGGGGTTACATCCTATTTTAACTGTTTTTTGGTTCTAATTCGGTTCAGCCTTGATTAAGGTTGACCGCCAAAAAGAGCAATTTGTCTCAAGGACATTACCGACCGGTTCTTGTGGCTAGCTTGCGCCGATTTGTACCAAAAACGCGCAGATGCTAAAAATGTTGTATGATGTCCTGATCATTAGAAAAATACCGAAATTTATCTATTGCCTGAGTTATTTACCGATAAATATCTCTTATTAATTTACGAATTTGGATTCAATTATTTTCGTTTGGAGATTAGCGAGCATAAATCTGATCCCACTTTATCCCCTACAAGCTCTCCTTGAGGTAGTCAAAATTGGCTGGCAAAATTCTTCAATAAAAATTTCATCGTCGCAGAAGATTTGGCTTGATCGGTTTCTCTAAGAATTGAATTTACTATAACCAGACTAAGATTTTCTTCGCGTACACAAGCAAGTTAGAAACGAAAAACCAAAAATGGTTCAGTCAAATGAAAACACTGAAAACTTTTCGTTTGCATTCATTCAGTCACTTTTTTTTGTTAATTTTTCTAGACTATAGTGAACTCTAGCATAAAAACGTGTATCGAGTATCTGCTGTTTTAGCTGTGGTAACTTTATAATAACAGCCCAGAGAGACCGAATTCTGATTCACCAGTACCTGAAGGACACATCAACATGTGCAGAAAGGCAATCCATCTCAATCGCAGGAAATGAATTTTGCTGCGACATTCTCCGGCTGACGCTCAGTGACGACGGAAAGATGCTTTCAAAAATATATTTTGCCACTGCCACGAATGATGAGATTTTATTGAACACTTTTGACTGCTCCACAGGTGATTTTTTTCCATTAAATTTCAATTAAACAAATTAAAAAGTCAAAACGTTAGTATTTTCATGTCACAACTTTCACATTAAGTTTGAGTTTTAATTGAGCATAAGCATGTATAACGCTAGCAATTTTGGCTAGTGTAATGATAGAGAATTTTTTTTTACCGTCTAGAGAAACAGACAATTTTAAACTAGGCTCTTCAGAGAAAAACTAAGAAATTCTTCAAATTTTTTTCAATTGTTAATATAAAACCCATTGTATATCTTTTATTCTATTGTAGATCTAAAATTTACCCGACTTTTCTAAGGCCAAATTCGCTCAAAGTTTCCAATGCCCATCCCCTCTTGGAAATAGTCTCTCGAACAACCAAAACAAATAAACTCAACATGATTCAGTCTGTTTTGTTCAGACAACCGAACTTAAGTAAATATTACTATAATTCTTACACATGTTTCTTACTAATGTTTTAAAACATGTTTTTCTACTCAAATGTTTTAAGAGCATTTTTTACTCAAATTAGTTAAAACATGTTTTAAAGCATTCCAGCATTGCTTGACCTTCGCCTGTGTTTTGATCAAAACAATCGCTTCTAGATTAAAAAATCGCAATTTTTCAGGTTCGACTGAGACATATGAGCACATTGCACAGAAGGGTTCGGATTTCAGATTTTGGACCAAAGAGCATCTGACTTTACTGGCTAATAGGGACACTGCTCTCCTCATGGATACCAACTCAGGTTAAAATAATCAATTATATCATCATGGATAAATGAAAGAGTGTTCCATAGAAGTCCAATTCCAGCCTTAAGTTGGTGAAGTTAAGTTAACAGAATCACCATCATACGAACCTCATGCATTAAAAAAAAATTCCGTGCCTGGGTAATGTTGCCTTAAGGAAAGAGAAAGGGTTATGGCCATGGTCAGCCTCGAACCTCCGACCTTTCGATTGAGAAGCTGAAGCAACACATTAAAATAATGATTCTGAAATTTGAAAAATGCTGAAAAAAATTTTGCACATTGTACAACGAGCTTTCAATAATAATGTTTCAACTTTTGTTTCTGAGCAGGCAGAATTTTGGAGTCGTTCAAGAGTCGATTGCTTCTGGATTTCTCAGTTGCAAAACTTGGTGGATCGATAGAACCTGTTTTTCTGTTTGAAGATCGCATTGCAATCGGAGGATACGAAAAAACGCTTTCGTCTGGACATGTCAAACCGTCAAGTATGTATTTGTAAAAAAATATCAACAAAAGCTTTTTCGCGCATGATTAAATCATTTCTAAAGAATAAAGGAGTGATAGAATAATCTTAGCACTGCATCATTTTAGCGGTGTGATATGTTCTTTTTATCATTTTGATAATATTTTTTTTTCATAAGTTTGCAATCATAATGTTCCTTATATCCTTTTTCACGTTGAAGTAACTCGTAGTTTTTTATCACTAACTTATTTAAGAAGGAAAGAGATCATCACTTGTTTTTTTTTTTGGTGTGGGGTTGATTATTCTTTGGATTAAAAATTCGATATATTTTGTTTTCGGAATCTTTCTGCACAGTTTTTACAATGTTTTTTTTTCAGAGATTTTATCGTCTTCGTTGTCATCGGCCAGCAACGTAGTAGTTACAGTCCAGTTAGAAGACCAGAAGAAAATCTCAGTTTTTCTTGTCAGCAGAATGGCAACAGAGATTGCCGAGTACACTTTGACCTTCAAAGGGTCAGTTCTGGCTGTGTCAAATGTCACTTCAACTAAAATCCTGATAGGTAAGACAATCGATGTATAAAAACCTGTTTTAGAGCACATTTTCTCACTGTTGCTGTCTCGAAAAATGCGACCAGCTGTAGGAATGAACCTAAAAAAAAATGCGACATTTTATTGGGACTTACAAATTAGGGGAATGAAGTAGGAGCAGATATAAAATTAATTGCGTATACTGGATCTATACATTTGTATAAAAGTTTTTTGGTACCCAGAAATTCAACTGTACTCTATGCTGTTTTCTCATGAAGACACCATTCAATAGGCAGCTAAATGGCCTTTTTGGTGTTCTTCGAAGATGGGATTTTTAATTCTGAGTTCTGTAATTAATAATCGAGTCTGTTCTCTTCTTGAAAACGAATTAATTTTTTATTATGATTTAAAGCTAACTTTTGGAACAAGTGATGAGGGCAAATAGCTGATGGCGAAACCTCAAGTTTAAAATAATCGTTTCCAGAGTCTGTTGTGGCAGCTTGAAGCGGCCCGCATAATTGTTCATACTCATCATTCGCTGTTTCCACTTTCTGTTTTTTCACTGCCTAAGGCTGCCTCCGAAAGCCGTTTCTAATTAAGTAAAGCTAAGAGATCTTAAGCGAATTTCTGTGCTAAAATTCAAATCAAAAACCCGTTTAAAAACAAAGCCCAACGCATCTTCTATGCTCTCGTATAGCTAACTTCAGCACTTCAACTTTAAACGCCAAAAACTTTCATGCCATTTTCCCCGGATTATCAGAATTAACGGAACTAAAAAAAATTATCATACTTTTAATACTATGTACATAGTAAATGACAGGTGACAATACAAACAAAATCAAACTATCTTCTTACAGATGATACTGTAAAACGGGGAAAAACAAGGATAGCCGGGATTTCCCTAGCCAAATAAGTAGTATTGTAATCCGCCGTGTGTCCTTAGGGGGGGGGGGTCTTTTCGACGGTAGGGGTCTTTGGGGTCCTACCAAAAGTAGGGTCCAAAAGGACCCATCTTTTTTAAAGACCCCAAGGTACCCTGCCCGAAATAAAAAGACCCCTCTCTTAGGACACCCGACAGACAAAATACTTTGGTATTTATTTTCGCGCGGTGGTTAAATTTAATCCCTTCCAAACTTTCCCACTGTTCAACTAAATAAGTTTGAGACCCCATTAAAAAACTGACCTGCTTGAGAAGGAGGAAGGACGTGACAAATAATAAGAGGGTATGAAGGTAAAGAGGACTTGATAAATAATAGATAAAGTAACATATAAAAAAAAATAAAAAAAAATAAAAACGGAATGTTGACAAGAGTACGGATAGGAGAGCAGAGGAAGGGTTTACGGCCACATCCGCACGTCGTCTTCGGGATCCGACCAAGGGACATGAAGAATACTGACTAGACGCTCCATTTGAAATTTGAAGCGCCACTCAGTACTCTCGAATCCCGCACCCAGAGACTCGCACAGCCAGAAATTTTCCATGCTCCCCACATCAACACACACATATTCAAATATGCCCTCCTTTTTCTCAAATGCAACTTCAATGTAATGCAGCATAAAATTCGCTGCAGTGGTGGCCGGGGTAAACTCTACGGTCACACCAAAGATATTTTTGCCTTCGTGAGTTCCAGGTCCCACATAAGGCAAATCAATGGGTGACTCGTGGAGACCACCAAGGGGAATATCCATCTAAACACATGAAAATAGGTTGAAATCATTAGTTAGAAATAGGAGTGAGTAAGTGGTATCTAGAAGGTTACTTTCATTTCCACTGGCTTGAAATTCAGCAGGTCGGAGAAATGCTGGAAAAAAAAAGAAATTGGAAAAACGTAGAGTTACTTCAAAAGACTTGGAAATTATTCATGAAATTTTTATTACTTTGAAAAAAAAACCTATCCGGAAAACACCAACCGTCGAAATTATTTCTTAGCTGCATGTTCACTGTTCTTCTTCTCAACTACTAATGATATAAATTACGATGTTGCTATCAAGTTGAGACCCTATGGGGGTCTGATCGGTATAGACAATTCTTCTTTGGATAAATATTTAAATGATTCGAAAATTTTACGAATGCATGCTATTTTACACGATGCCGCCGGTTTTGTCCGCGAAGTTAATAACACTGGTCCCACATACTGCTATGTTTTACCATGGAAATGCAACAGTAGTTTGATTGGTCACTTGAGTGGAATTACGTTTTGTTTGTATATCAAACTGAAAAAACCGAAACTCTACCATTTATTAGAATGCCGAAAGAAAAATTAGTTGTGTTGGATTTTGAGGGATTTCGACACCAGAAAAACACATTTATAGTAAAAGAATTAGCTATAACAACTTCCGACAACAGTGATCACCTAATTTTTCTACCTCCAGTTAATTTCAATTCCCTTCCAAAATCTGAACAAAAAGCCTACAACTGGCTGACAAATTATTTGCACGGACTTCATTGGGATAGCGGTGATTATTTATACCTGAATTTGAACCAAATCATTCAAAGTTTTGTCTTAAGAAACCCCAATGCTGTATTCTACGCCAAAGGAAAAGAAAACGCTGATTTTTTATCCAAATACTTAGACCGCAAAGTTGTGAATCTTGACGATTTGGGCTGTCCACGAGTCGAACAATTATATTTCAAGAATTTTGTGAATTGTAACAAACACCTACCGCACCATAACTCTAAAAATCATTGTGCATTAAAAAAGTCGAAAGCGTTCTTTGATTGGTTGAAAAATGAGTGTCAACAACGAGCGTCAGGGGAAAGTGGAGACATACATATCTCCAAATTCAGTTCTTTGTGCTTGGATGACACCAGAAAGTAACATAAAGATTTCATTGACCAGGATTGAACGCATTGATTGTAGAGGCCAAGTAGTTCAACGAAAAGAACAAGTTACACTTTCTGAAGAAGAGTTGTGCACTTTGAGGAGGTTCTTCCCCGTGATTGACCAATTCATCTACTTTCAACGATTCAAATACATCAGTAATGTTACCCAGCAAGCGCGGTCTTTGTCTTCCCAAGCTAGTCCTAGTGCCCAAACATCAACCAGGAGTTCAAATGGATCTAACCAGCAGTGAACTACCCAATGAGATTCAAAAAATAATAAGAGAAGATTCTGTGAAGAAAATTGTGTATCATGCCAAAACTGATCATGTCCCAGCCAATAATGTTTTGGAAATGCACTATGATTTTGATGATGATAATAAACCGAGTGTCTATACAGGTTATACACGATATGAAATTTATTACTGTTCAGATGCTTAATTAATTTTTTTATATATGATATATATTTTTAATTCTGCAAGTTCGAGAGTGAGAGAAAGCGGTAGGGAAATTGAAATGAATGACACAGTAGTTGACGAGACTGATGGAACTATAGTTATCGATTTTGTGTATGACGAAAATCATATGGAGAAAAAATCATGGAAATTTTGCAATAACGTGACTGTACCACGGTCTGAAGTAGTTTTCATGTCACAAATGGTGTTAATTCTGATTTTATTGGCTTTTTGTATCTTTAAACTTTCATTAACGCAGTTAACTTGTGAAGAAACCTGTTTGGTTCTCAATTTTATCGGGTTTAGTTGGTTATGTATTACCAAATCCAAGAAAATGAATAAAGTTATTGATACATCTACGAGACTTTTTTTAGCCATCGTGGGCCCCTCGGGTTCTGGAAAAACAGAGCTGATATTCAAATTGTTGAAAGGAAAAACATTTTATCCCAAATTTCAAAGAGCCCTATACTTTTACAAAGAGATGCAGCCTCTTTATAGTGAAAAATCCAATACCCACAGCATTGATCTAACTTTCATAAAATTCAATGGCTTTGACAGTTTGCGAAACCTTGAAAACATTCTTCTAGTTTTTGATGATTCATGCGAAGAAATCTATAACGATAAAGACTTTGTCAAACTTGCAACAGCAGGAAGACACCGAGGACTAGATGTAATATATGTTAAACATAATTTGTTCCAACAAAGCAGATGGTCTCGAACAATTGATTTAAACGAATCACACATCATTCTGTTCAAATCACCTCGTGATATTCAGCAACTTGATCATCTTGGAAGACAATTGAACAACACTAAATTTTTGAGACACTGTTATCAGCTCGCTACAAAAGACACATACGGTCATCTTTTAATCGACTTGGATCCGCGTACATCCGATTGTTTGAGATATTGTTCAAACATTACACCACCTGGTCCGTCTATTTTTTACTTACCAATAAATCAGGCAGAGGTTACACCTCTCACAAATGAACGCGAAAAAATTATCTATTCTGCAGCACATGGTACAATTGAATCCCAGCCAGCTCCGAAGCTTCATTAGAAAAACAACAAATCCTCAAGTTATTTCAGTTATATGTGAATGTTTGCTCAATGTAGTCAATGGCAATGTATCTGTTAATATTCCAAACATTGAAAATTTCGAAGTGGAATACAAACTTTTAATCAGCCGAAAAACAAAACTTGAACAAAAACGAGCAATTATTCTAACGAAACAAGGTTTCAACTTGATCAGACTGATACTTTACTTCTGCTACAGATACTTACCATCAGCATAAAACATGGCAGCAGAAGAGTTTGTTTTAATTCCAAAACATACATATGTCCGTGAGCAACCGCATGCATCACAAGTGCTATTTAACAGTTCAATTAAACACAAAAAGCCCCAGTTATCTTACTTGAACCGCATGAGACCTCTAATACCCACAAAGCAAAACTCAGTATCGACTGAAACTCTTCCACTACCCCTTCCACCAACACCTCCCTCAACGCCTATTGTTGACCCTGGAGAACAATCAACAGGACTTCTTACAGAAGATGAGACTAATCAATATCAGGAAGTTGGGGAGGAAGAGGAGAAGCGGATTGTGGATGACAAGGAGCGAAAGGATAATAAAATAAACTATGAACGCATTCTATTACAATTGCAAATAATGGAGGATAAAAAATTCACGAGAGCTAAAAATATCCTGGAGGTTATCAAAAGCTCAACTCGAGTCTCAATAAACGCCATGGATGAAAC